TTGCTAATCTGAAGATCTCAAGACAAAATAAAAAAACTCATTTTGTTGTGAAAAAGAACAACTCCGATTCTTTTCTTCTTCCTTAGTGAGAAGAAAATATAGCTTGTTCACCCACCTTTTAAGAATAAAACTCCCAGGGCGACTTCTACTTTTAAAATGTTCACTTTTTGACAAGTTCACAAAACTCAATACTCTGTGTTTTATTTAAACCGAAACGTTGGAAGCCTTATTCATATATAGTGGTGAATCAGATATGATTTCTTTCCATAATTGTGAGACTAAAATAATATTCTTACAATTTTTTTAAGTTTGAAGGAAAAATCATAAGTAGAAGTATAACATAACTTTTTAGGACATCAGGTGCACCCAATAAGAGCGGTCCTTACATGGGACCAACCAAATACACGGGCTGAGGATGATTGCCCATTGGGTGTGCTCCACCTGGCACTCGATAATTTCTCCTAATTTTGTAAGACGTGGACAATGAACAGCATTTCAGATTGTGTTGTGTTTTCCTATCTCCTTGATCGCAGGAAATTTCCTTCAACAAGTTTTCGATTAGTGCATTACAAATATGAATATATTTTTGTTGACCAGTTATGGACGAAAACATGACTCGCAGATCTGGGGTCTCTCTCAAGTGAATTCAACTTAAAACTTAATGGATTCTCAAGGAAACATTTCTGGAATATGTGCTAAAATCACACATCACAATTCTTGTATGCTAAATGAAAAGCATTTTTGTGATCCGTTGACTCACAAACATGCAATTCATCTTCTTTAAGTTTCTAGGTGAAACACTTTGTATATGATCAAAAGCATAATCTACAGTGAGCATGTTTCTGTCGGGATTCTCAAAACGGTGGAGTTAAATAAACAAAGAGCAATTGCAGAACTAGCAATTCGCTCATATGTAATCTTGTCTTCTTTTTGTTCAAGGCGATATCTTCCATACCTCGTAGTGTTACTTGAAGCTACCCAGAAGCAGAAGATTGTGTGACATAATATCTTCCACTAGGAAATCTCCTAGGAAGCCTTGGAAGATAGCCGTCCCAGCTTGCTGAGCCAAACCGTCAATGATTGCTGGTAACAGGTGACCCATCAGACTACTCTCACTCTAATCATTCCTCTGATTAAATCCACGTCCTGGAAATGTACAATAAGGCACACCTGGATAGTAACCATGTCCCTGACTAAATGCTTGGGATCTTATGGTTGAGAATCCAAGATGCAGATTAGGATCTGGGAAATACATGCTCCAATGATTAAGGAATTCTGGCCCTGGCACGGTTGGGATAGGGATGCTATGGTCTGATGGCTCGGCATGAGAGCAATTCACTTGCTGCTGTAGCCAAGTGACAGGACTTGATGACAGCGCAAAAGCACAGAGAGAGTGCATATTGAGCTCTCACTCGACATTGGTAAGAAAAGCACATGCCTAGCTTCCCGCAGGCATTGCACACGAAAGCAACTTCCTGGTAGACTGGGGTTGGAGTCAAAGTAAGCATGTGTTTGGGGTCAATCCTGTGGCTCAGCTTCTGCGACATCTTCAACTGGAGGCAAAAGTAAGCCCCATCGGAGATCTCTAGCTTGCAGCCCAAACATAAGACTGCTCACGGTTCAGTGCTGCCGGATGTTGAGAAGCCTCAAGGGATGTTGGTGGCTGAAGTGTTATACGCTTTGATCGGTGTCAATCTCTCGCATTTTGCCTGTCCAAAAGTCTTTGCTCTTGCGAACAGGTAGTGATTCGCATGAGGCATCAGAGCAAATTGCAATGCATATATAAGCTTATGATCAATGATAAAAAAAGATATGAATACAGATTCTTATTTCTAATCCTTCTTTGTCCTGTTCAACATGTTTTTAGGTGCTACAAAAATAGTAATTCCACACGGACTTCATTTATGAAAATGCAAATGTATCGATAAAAGCAAATCTGCCAACATCAATTGAGAGGGACCTCGACGTGTCAAACACTCCACAATATCTATCGTTGTATGTTGATTGCGTTTCAAAAATACATTTGAAAATAAAGATCTACTTATTTCAGTTGACTTAAGGATCAACTTTGTTTCTTGTACTTGGCAGGCTCAACCAAGTTTTGATGTTGCTATCTGTCTCATGCTACTGGCATGCTATTTTACTAGGATAGCAATATCGGTAGAAACATAATATGTTTGAAGTTGCCGTCCCCCAAAGCCTTATCTTTTGATGGAATCATATCGTTGTGAGCAGAATAATACACCAAACTGAGCCCTCACAATGTTTATATACTGTCAAAAGAGAGAAATAATGGAGCAAAGGGATATGCTTTTCTGATTGTTCTCAAGTATTCGACTGAACAGAGAGGATGGTTGCAAATGAAGATGCAAAAAAAATAGCTCTGTTACAGTTAACATTTATTATTTTTTCCATGAAAGATCAACAAGATCCCATCATTTAATGTCTCTGTAGCATAAAAAAGCTCCAGATATACTTCAAACATGCATCCTCAACCTTCAGTGGTAGATAGAACTAAGAAATGCAGGACATATGAAGAGATCCTACTTTTAAACACACATGGATGATGGGAATGTTGGTGCTGTTCCTTTAGGTCCAGAGTGCGACTTGTTCTCTCAAAGCCAAGGCAAATCTTCAACCAAGAATAGTTTCGGCCTGTCATCTTTTCTCGGTAACTTCCTATTTTGTGTTTGGTGTTGGAGATTATCTATTATGAGAGTGACATCAGAGGTTGATGATTATTGAAATCACTGTCCCGTAACCAAGTCAAATCTTCGACTGAGAAAAGTTTCTCTGGAGAAGACCAGGACTTTGTCTCATTATTCAATCCCTAAAAGCACGTGCATCCCCAACTTTAGTAAGACAGCAGACAGCACGAACCGGAACCGGAATTATAGAACGGAACCAGCAGTTCCGGTTCGGCCCGGTTGAACCGCGGTAAAAATTAAAAAATAAATTATGAAATAAAAAATTAATGAATTATCAAATTATGAAATAATGAATTATTCAATATAAAATGTAATCAAAATGATTGTAATCAAATTTGGGGAAAAAAGAGTTTTCCACTTATCTGCAATTTTTTTTTTTGGGAACCGGGCTTGGCCCGGAGGCGGTTCCGGGCCGGTCCAAAATTGTTGGAACCGGAACCGGGCCTATAGGCCACGGGCCGGTTCCGGTTCCGAACCGCGGGCCCGGTCAACAGGCCGGTCCCGGGTTTGACCCGGGCCGAAACCGGCCCGTGGCCATGTGTAGACAGCATGACGACTTTATGATGCATTTGAAGATGCAAAGCAGAAAAGTTCCTTGACACTTTGTTTTATTTCTGCTGATCACTGACTGACATTTTGAGGAAGATTATGACTGTTCATAACAAAATCCTCAGTAGGGCCGGAGATCCTTGTAGGGTGTAGGAATTATGATCTATAAAAAGTTAAAAACCAAATGAAAAGAGGAGAGAGTTCATATGGTAGGGTGAAGCAATGTTTTCTTTTCCTATCTCCAATATTAGATTGGAGAAAAATACCTCATCGTGTTCCCAACTCTAAGATACTTGTCAACTGTGAAGCATGAACATGCCCAGATACTTTGCAATGTCCTCCTCAAGAATTGACAAGATCCATATACTTTTCTCAAGAGCACGACAATTGGTTGCGCTTATGGTGAATCTTCTCTCCAGCCGGCTTTTCTTCTCAGTCAATGCTTTTTTTTGTCTCTCTTTGGTAATTTCCTCTCAAATTCATTTGTGAAGCTCTGTTTTATTAGATTAATCAACGAAATACTATAGTCAAGGAAAGGATGCTGCAAAATCTTGTTCTCTAGAACAAGTTTGGAGTATTATTCAAGGCTTGACCGTTCTGTACGATAATTCAAGATTTTCTTATGAGAATTTTCTGCAGTGCTTGATAGGCATAGGAAACAAATCAATGGAACTTCAGAGCAGCAGTTAATGTTAGCGATATTATGATATCTATTTGATTCTGCATATCTCTTGGGATTATGCATATATCTCTTTCGATGGTGCATATCCTTGATTGATTTAGATTTGATATTATGTTTATCCTGTTACCTTAATTAGTTATCTAATAAGCTTATAAATAAGCTCTCCATGTACTCTTTTATAGATCGTCGAATATACAGAAATTCTTGTCTTCCGCTTTAGTTTTAACTGTTAACTTCGTATTGTTTACCATTGAACCCAAATTTTCTATCTCCTAAATTTTGCCAACCTCCGCAAATCCAGACTTGTTAATACGGCACAGAAGGAATCTGGCTAAAGACTATGTCCCTTCTTTCAGATGAACAAGAAAAACATGAATTGAGAAAATAATAAACACAGTTGACCGATGAATATGCAGCATAATTGATCGGCTCTCCTAACGAATCCAAAGTAGATAGGATCAGAGTTGGAGACGTCCTCTTATGTCGTTGCTTGTTTTACTCCAGGTTGCCAACAATTTTACCGTTGCCAATGGCATAATCAGATCATATCAGTTTGAACTGTTTGTGATCATCTATGAACATCCAGGTTTGACAGGGTTGTGCATACCTTATTTCCTCACCGAGAAAAATTCACTTCGACTCTATGAGTTGATGGACAACCGCTAAAATCTTAGCACTTAAGAATAGAACATGCGTTATTGTATTGAACCATTTCATTCTTACATGTCTTTCCATCTAATCCTGAGTCAACCTTCCATGTCTCCAAGTCAACTCGTTACCTTCCAAGCGGGAGCTAATTGCCATATTAAACTGACCAAACAGGTTAGACCGTAGACCGAGTTAGCAAAGAGTGACTTTGCTACCACTCCATTTTGGGTTTATAGAGTGATAGCAACTTGACAGGGTCGCTCTACAGAAATACAAACAAAAATATACAAATGACTAATCAAGGTTTGAATAATCCAAGTGTCTTATCTGTGCAGGAGAAAGTTCCGAGAGGAAAATATAATTAAAATGCAGAGGAGTTGAACAGAGCTTGGCACCGGGAAGGTCCTTCCATTCTTATCTAGCTTGTTTGTTGACATCAACCATGAAAAGAACTGTTCTAAGTCCTCTTCAAATCATTTATTGACGTTACCATTTCAATAGAGGACACCATGTAACTTTCTTCGGAATACTACTGGTCATCCCTCACCCAAGTTTTCTTGACTTCACCGCTTTAAATATCTCAAGAGACTTCATCGGCCATGTAAAATCTCCCACTCTTCAAAATTGCTTCCTCAATCTGCAACTCTAAACCCTTTCTTCGACTTCTTTTTCTTCTTTTCATCGAAGAATGTACATTACTCCTTCGGTCATGTCGCTATTGCTAGTAGTTACCATCTTGGCATGTGCTTTTGATCGAGCAACATGCTTGAAATTCAGTTACCCCACCTTTAAAGAAGCAGATGAGAACCATTTCATCAAGGAAAAATCCTATATAGTTCTCAATGCCCTCCAAGTGACTGCAGATGTAAGTGGAGCTCCCATCTCAAACTTGTCCGGCCGCATATTTTACAAAGACCCATTCAAGCTGTGGAAGAAAAAGGGAGTCACCGCATCTTTTAATTCCACTTTTGTGCTCAAAATAACTCCACAGACTGTTCCGGGTGGTGAAGGTCTTGCCTTCCTTATAACCGGAAAAACGGGTCTTCCAGACAACAGTGACGGAAGATGGCTTGGTATCGTCAACTCGAGCACAGACGGAGACTCTCAGAACCAGGTTGTAGCCATAGAATTCGACAGCCGGAAGAGCTATGCAGAAGATGGTGATGATAACCACGTGGGATTGGACGTGAATGGTATTTTCTCAATCAAACAAGAGCCTCTGGCTAATTACGGCGTCAATCTTTCAGCAGCTATCAATATAACAGCCAGAGTGGAATATGACGGGAAGAATATCTCGTTGTTCGTCCCCCTGAGCAATGAAACAGGAGACAACATGAAGAATCCAGTTATTTCTTACACTATCGATCTTTCCGAGTATCTCCCACAGGATGTGTACCTAGGATTCTCCGCTTCAACAAGCAACTACACAGAGTTGAACTGCATAAGGTCTTGGTTCTTTGAGGGTTCAAAGTTAGACGAAGATCCTAAACTGTTGTGGGTTTGGATTTCAGTTCCAACTGTACTTGTGTTGTGTGCTCTAATTTATCTCCTGTATAGGATAAGAACAGGCAAAAAGGGTCTAGTGGAAGACACTTACCCGACAATAGAAGACCAGATCAAGGGCTCATCCACGGCTCCACGGAAGTTCTGGTTCAAGGATCTCAAGAAAGCAACAGGCAACTTCAAGAACAAGCTCGGACAGGGGGGCTTTGGAACGGTTTATAAAGGGTGCATAATGGATAAAGAGGTAGCCGTCAAAAGGGTTTCTCAGGATTCACGTCAAGGCAAGCAAGAATTCCTAGCCGAAATCACGACCATCGGCAGCCTCCATCACCGGAATCTAGTGAAATTGATTGGATGGTGCTACGAGCGCCGCGAGCTCCTCCTTGTGTACGAATACATGCCGAATAGTAGCCTAGACAAGTACATATACTGCCATGAGAAGTTAATAGCCAGTGGACCAACCCTGAATTGGCAGAGAAGGTACAACATTATATCTGGAGTAGCTAAAGCACTTGATTATCTCCATAATGGGTGCGAGAAGAGGGTGCTTCACCGGGACATCAAAGCGAGCAACATCATGTTGGATTTGGAGTTCAATGCTCGGCTCGGGGACTTCGGGTTGGCGCGCACCATCCAACAGACTGAACAGACACACCACTCAACCAAAGAAATTGCCGGAACCTGGGGTTACATGGCTCCCGAAAGCTTTCTTACAGGAAGGGCAACCGTGGAAACAGACATTTATGCATTTGGCGTCCTCATGCTTCAAGTTTTCTGTGGAAGAAAACCAGGCGATCAGAATGAGGAAACCAGTATTGTGTCCTGGGTATGGGAATTGCATAGGAGGGTAAGGATCTTAAGTGCAGCGGATTCCAGGATGAGTGGAGAATTTGGAGACAGAGAAATGGAGGACATGCTTGTCCTGGGGTTGGCCTGTTGCCACCCGAATCCGTACTGCAGGCCCTCCATGAGAATCGTATTGCAGGTGATGACTGGGGAAGTAGCTCCGCCAATTGTGCCGCTGGAAAGGCCAGCTTTCATCTGGCCATCAATGCCTCCATCTTTTAGAGAGGACTTAGATTGCTCCAATGCCGAAGGCCAAATAACTCTCATAACAGAACTTTGCGGGAGATAATTGTGCAAAGCGGCAGAATCTGCAAACCTATGCTTTTCATCAGCTCCTATTTGCCATTTTAGTGCCTGAATGTGAACAATCTTATAGTACATTCAAGATATTTGCATACTAGAGGTTCTTGTTTTTTTTTTTCCTGATATGACCGAGGAGGAACCTGCGCCATCTTTGCTTATGCTGGTTGCAGCGGGTAAACTCCCCACGTGTACACTAAAGTTAGTTTTCTTTTAATAAAAATAGTACGTCCTGTTCAAGCCAAAAAGGACACAAAGCATTTTGTGTTTTTAGAAGGAATGACAGCAAGTCTACTGATATGATTACTTCAATGTGGACTTCAGTGTGATAAGGCGCTGAGTGCAAACACTGAAACCGAGCTATTACATTATAACACTGCTACCCACTGTTTCCACCCTCTACAATCTGCTGCTTAGTGGACATAACAGCCAACCAATAGAATATCCATTGACAAGGTGAGTGGCCGACGCTTGCATTGTGTAAGTACCATAACAGGTTCTGAGCTCGGGGAAAAACCAAAAGAATGGCCTCCTTTTCCATAGGCTATTTGATAATAAATGCAGAAAACAACAGTCATTGCCATGAGCAATTTGGCAAAGCAAAATACTATTACCAGCGACAAGAAAAGTTGCTCCAACCGTTGCTCTAGATTCAAAGGAATAAGGATCTTTGGTTGTTCAGCCGAATTCCTGGTTTCACTGATAAAATTCTATAAACTGAGAGACAGGATTAAGCAGTAGTTTCTATTTCTCACTCCACACGCAATTCCACGACTGATGAGACAGAGAAATACAAGCTTGACAGTATCGTCAGTTTCTGAGCATCTTCCGTGCGAAAACAGAAACAGATGGAGATTTTCTCTTTTCTTCTTTAGACTTGCAAAAGTTTTCATTGATTTCCACCGGCTATCCCAATAACAATATTCTCCCGTTGAACACACAGTATCTCCAGTTAAAGCAATTGCATTCAGGGCCTTTCCTGATTTTCACCGGGTAAGTAAGCATCCCTCCATTTGAATTCTCCGAAACTTCTACTCTTTACTGCACACTAGAAGGGAGACAGCTAAAAGATGAGCAGAACGGAGAGAACACAACAGGCCCGCATCTGACTGACGCATCTTTTTCATTGCCGTAGTTCAAGACTGAGACACCAATACAAAAACAACAGACAGATAAACAAATGAACACTCGTCCCAAGCATGATGAGCAAAAGCAGGCACTATATTGAAAAGAACACATGCAACTATAACATTTCTCTGTTTTCTTTGTATCCCAGTCAAGTGATGTCCAGGCTAAGCAAATCGAATCATCCTCCTCAATACCACCTAACATCTACGTCAAAAAAGAAGACTTAAAATGAACTTTCCGCTTGATTTAGACCCAAAAGATTACAGTTAACTTAAATTAAACCTCAAACCTCACGTTTTTTAAGGGCAGAATCACAGGTTTCTTGCTAGCTCTATTAACCCCCTAGAGTGTTTGTATCTAGAGGTAACGATGCCACAGGTCTTTGAACCATTTCTCATTGTTCAATGTAGTGCCTGAACTTTCTTTTCCAATGTAAACATTACACTTTTCAAGATCAATGCACTGTCATCCTTCCGTTAAGTAGACAACTGATAATTATTGATATGGCAATAAATGTCGTTAATTGACTTTTAGGTGTCCAAATTTACATCTGATGTGTCCAATCGACTGGTCCAAATACTCTCATCTCCTCCACTGAAGGGCCCGCAAGAAGTACATCAAAATTATTTTTTCCTTCTTTTCCTTTCTTTCTCTTCTTTTCCTCGATTCCTCCATCCTTCCCACTTCCCCGCAGTACTCCACCATCACCATCTGCACTTGCACAAATCTTTCACCACACATCATCCCACCGTGAATGCTTGTGCTCCATCGCCTCACCATCCTCACCGCCATAGTCGACCCACCATCCACCACCACCGTCTCACAGCGCGGGCTTGATCTGAGGTGCGCAGCCTCGAACTTGAGTTGGCTGTCTCGGATTGAGGCTGCGCTGCCTCCGATCTAAGGCCTCGTGTCTCAAACCAGGGGCAATGGACACGTGGCATGATGGACAACGCGGCATGGTGGTGATAGATGGCGGGGCAACCACGGCAGCAAGTGTGGTGATGGAGGACCCCGACATTGCATGAAGAAGAAGAAGAAGAAGAAGAAGAAGAAGAAGAAGAAGAAGAAGAAAGGAAAAGAAAGGTATATTCTGCTGATTTGGATAAAAAAACATGGGGCAGTTTATATGATTTCTTGGATCCCTTCATTGCTGATATGGACTGCCACATTAGCAAAAAAGTGCATGACTTGGAACTAGAGTTAACAGAAGGAGCACAATTCTGAAAAGTTCGTGGACTATATTGAACAAAGAAAAAAAAATCAGAACCGCATTGAACAGTGGGTAAAAGTTCAGAGATTTGTGGCGTCATTACCCCTTGTATCTATATTGAAAGCCATAGAAGATTATGAAACACGAACTATTTCTCTCCTTAGTCTTACCACTAAACCTCATATGTTCCGGGAAACACTAACTGAATGGCCTATATCCAACCATAAATAACATATAAGATGAAATCACAAATAAACTTTTAACTTCCAGACCTACTATCACAGGGATTAAACTATACAACTACCATGCTGCAAGATTATCCTCACCAAAGATATGGTGAACCATCACAGCTTCAGTCAGGACTGCAGATGATAGTCCAGAGTATAGGCACGAATATCGGAAGGGCTTGATCCAGGCCTGCCATAATACATCGAACTGGTTTTAAAAACTTCCCACACGTGAAGATAATAAGATACCAAAAATACCTCACATAGTGCTTAGAACTGAAAGCAGTTGCATTAAGGCAAATACCTTTTATTAATGGTACCGTAGTGGAACCTTGGCCTTCCATTCTTAACATCTTGAATGTACTGCAATCAAGTATATGTGTCTTCATTATATTAAAACCACCAGAGATCATCCAATCATAGGATATACATCGTAGCATCATAGCTAACACTTTTACCAATTTCAAGGTGACCAAGATGGATGAAAATGCCAGGGAATCAAAAGGTATATCATCAAGGGCAAAGAGCTGGCAATCTGATGATTCCGGACCAGGTGAGAAGTGAGGATTCCGCAGCTTAGCTAAGAAAATTACATAGGTCTGCCGACACAAAAGAGCATATGCTTCAAAGTCTGTAGGCAACACACACGATAAATAAGGGAGATAGATGGAGATATTGATTTTCCTCACTTGACCAATACGAGGTATGTCCAGCTGAGCAAAAGGTGAAAGAACCTCCACTTCTGCACATGCTTCTTCCCAAGTTTCTCTGATCGCCCCTTCCGCAGCTGACTCCCCAATTTCCATGTAACCAGCAGGAAGAGTCCTATTCCACATTATGTGCGAATAGGAGTTAAGAATGAAGATCAGTACTATGTGAACAATTTGTTTCCTTAAATGCCTTAACTCTTAGCAAAGACATTTTCTTTTCCCTCGGCAGAAGATGATTAAAAGGCAAAGCTTCAACGACCCAAACTCATTTATATGAATACACACCATAGACCGTTGGAAGGTTCGATGTTCCTCTTGCATAGTAGGACCTTGTTATCATGCTCAATGAGGCAACCTACAACCTAAAATATCAGTTTCCAGAAGTTAACAACCAGTCTTAATTGTGCCAAATACAAGAATAGCATCTCTATGTTGTACTGAGCGAAAGGTTAAATGTACATAGGATTCTACTTTAAACTTCTAATTTCTTCAAGAGTAAGACTCAGAAAATATTTGGAACAGAAAAGAATTGCTTAGTTTAAGCACATGAGATATATAGTACAATCAAATTTTCAAGTAAAACAAACAGGACATCTCTCTACCATCTTTGGATTCTGGTAAGCAATTTTCCCGCAGAGAGTGCAAATGGCTCTCATCTTCTCCTCTCCATCAGGTATTTCATGCTTCGTCGGTCCACCACACCATTGACAAAAATTTATCTTTTTTACAATTCCCTGCACTCAAATGCGTAAGCAAAAGCAGGTTAATGACGGGTCTGAAAGGCAATCAACACATCTCCATTCGTTCTCTCTCTTCATCTTCTCGAAGAACCAAGAAAGAGAGATAGTTTAGAAGTTAGATTGAAAGAACTATCATTCTGCCCCATCCAACCGGGGGATAAACTGAAATATCAGTCGGTCAAGGACTGACTAAATTTCAATTTTTGCAAAAAACCTATGAATATTTCTGATTAAAACTTACGTTTTTCCTTTCCAACTAGTATCACTTCTGCCCATCCCATGACCGAATGCCATGATGGAGTACATTCTAGAGAAATAATAACAAGAGATCAAGAACTTCAAATATTAAACGTGTAAATGTAGGTAAGTTTTGAACATAAATCTCCACATTCTAGTTTCTCTCCTCAACAGTATCTGCCCACGCCGTAAGCTGATACTTGCAGCATCCCCGCAGGCAATTCATGAAATTTCCATCAGTGTCTGATGTACACACTGACAACTAGAAGCCAAATCATCTAATTTGTTGCCAAAAAAAAAAAAGGGATTACGATTCCATTATATTGACAATTTAAAAAATAAAAAAAAAAACTGTTCATACTATACCATGAGCATAATATAGTCGATGGCCATCGGGTTTAAGGTTTAGCTACAAGAGTAATACTCGATGATACAGCTAAAGACTGAAATGGGCAATGCACTCGGACCTCGCCCCATGATCACACGATTACCAAAGCCTCCGAACCTTTTCCGCAATCAAATTTGCCATCCCTAACCATTCCCAAATCAATAGAGACGGGCATCAGCGCTCGGAACACCCACCCGCGAACGCCGGCGCGCACATCACGCGGCCGCGCATCACAAATAAACCGACCGAACAAGACCCAACCGAGGAACACGACTTACGGATGTCTGGACGGCAGCGGGCGTCGCGAAGCGAGCCGTGTCCGAGCTCGACCCGGACCGAGCGGCGGCGTGCGCGCGAACCGTCCTCCCGGAAGAACAGCAATGCCTCCTCCTCCTCCGGTGAGCCGCCGCCGCCGCAGGGGAGGAGAGCGCGGGGGACCGGAGCGGCGGATGCGAGCCGCCTCGCCGCCTTCGGAGAGGAGGGGAGGAGGAGGAGGGGAGGCTGGAGAGAGAGAGGGCGGAGAAGCCGTGGGAGGAGGAGGAGCAGGGCCTCCTCCAAGGACCCAGGGCCTGCATCGCCGCCTTGAGCAGCATCGGGAGGAAGCTATTCCAGACGATCTTCGACTTTGCTTCGACCGGACGAACTTCGATTTCTTCCGATGATATATAGTGCTATGGCACCACCAATTAAGCGCTGCGTCAGCATCGATTTTATAAGCCAAAAATTATCGTTAAACCATAGTTTAAATTACCCGTCATCAGATAAATTTTCCTTTCTCGAGATTCGGCACATGGAAATGTATGTATCGTCCGAGACATGTGTATATATACACACACAAGGATTTTATCGATTTGGTGATCTCATTCGCACGGCACTCGTAAAACAAGTAAGAACCGTTTGTTTTTTCAAAGCATCGATTGCTTGTACACAAGAAGAATAGGGGGATTATTGTGCGCATGGCAATTCCCTCGTCGCCGTGGATTTATTCCAACACATGTGACTGCCACGTCGGATCTCTAGAGGCACCATTTGGACAGAAAGCTAGTTTTTTAGAGAGTGTTAGTCGCAGACCTTGTGCCCCAAATTGGCTTCACTAAGCACACAAACTGTTGAAGAGAGGGCTTCTGAAATTCAAACGCCCGGTCGGTTACACCGGCCGGACATCATATGGCCGGGCTTGATCTTTCTATCGGCACACGGTTACTTTCTCGGGAGCTGATGTGATCCTCAATCGCATTTTTAGACCAACCTGTGAGTTGCCCCCCCTCCAGATTGCCCGGACCGGTTCTTGTCGACCGATCCAGCACTGGAGATTCCGTACACGCGCTGACCAAAGCCCGGGTTCTTGTCCACTCGAGACATGTCGGAAAACTCGTTAGATTCATGAAACGTTATAATTCACCAATCTCTGCTAGAGACAGTTATGACCCATTAGTCCTATTTTTATGCTAGATCCTAGGCAATAAAGAATGAGAACGAAAAGCTAATTAGTTCCTAATGTCTGCGAAAAAATAGTACATGTAAATCAAAGCAACTGATGGTGATGCATCAAAAATACCAAAGCCTCGACTACCACTGGTTGCTGATTGCAGAATACACAAGTGACGGCATCGAAACTGGGCAGCACCGACACCTCTAATTGACGGATCTATGCAATGATAACCATAAAGACGAATGAGGACTGACATATTTTGTGCATTTGTCAGCACGTAACGCCTGTTCCTCACGTCTATCACGGATTCTAACACTTCCAGGGTCCGGAATCTGAAGAACCATCTGATGCATCCTCAGTTTACAGCCAGCTTATCACTTAAAGACTGATATGCTGCACTACAAAGCTTGAACTTCTCCTCAGCAATAGCCTGACCAATCACTTCACATCAGCAAAGCAGGGGATAAAAGCAAAATTTAACGAATTGAATGGTATTTTTTACAGCCAATAGATTTTATATACTAGATATCCAGAATAGGAAGGATTAGAAAGTCCCCAACCAAAAAGTTAAATTATTAGGTGGAGCTAGAGTCTAGACTACATGAATATGAGAGTCGGAAGAAACTCGTGGACAAGCAATGTGGGATATACTAATGAAGCAAAACGGATTGAATTGACGATCGGGAAATAAGACAGACCATAACCACACTTGAAAAAATATTTTTAAATGGACTTGAAAAATTGAGACTTGGCTATGATATCTTGTTAAAAAGTTCGACCCAAAATTTTAAGCTAAAAAGTGGAGGAGGTTCCAAGTCTACAGGCCGAAACGAACCTCGTAAACTAATGATATTTTTACAGTAGCAAGCAACTACCAAGGCCTTCCATAATATACCTTTCTTAAAAGTCTAAATGATACTACAAAGGTCTTAGCAGGTCAGTTCTCCAAGTGTTTCACTAAAACCACATAAATGGATGCCACATGATCACCCTCTGTCGTATACTCCTAATTGAAACATTTTCTGAAATTAAGTTTGGAAATCTCAATTCACCTTGGAAGAGCCGTGGTGACGATCAGGATGCCATTTCAATGCACAAGCTCGATATCTGGAATTGTCAGCAAAGGGTCAAATTCAGAGACATGGTGAACACACTCCAACATGCTCAGATCTTGAAACCAGAGAAAGTAAATCATTAGAAAGAAACGGATCTTAGTGAAGACTCACGCATTCTTGACATCTTCAAGCTTTAAAGGACCCGAGGCACTCAACCCAAGGGCCATTCTATCCGAAGATTCTGCCTCTGAATTCCCAGAGTCTGATGAGGTTTCGTATTCATCATAGCTGGAAAATCTCCACTTCCCATAACTTCCATAACTATTCGAGAAGCGCGATGTGCTTCCCCACCAGTGGGGATTCTCATCATTAATAAAGGACCAGAAGTAGAATCTATTCCCACCAAAGGCAGACTTAAACATTGTATCAACATCATCATCTTCTTTACAGAATTGGAAACCTCCTAAAAGGAGTACAACAGCCCATCATAAATTAGAAATCTATTATCTACAAGATTGAAAGCTGTTTATATATGAAGTTGACAAGTGTATACCATCTTATCTAAAAGATGCATGAAGATTTTCCAAAGAGTATAAGATATTGACTTACAAATGGAACAAAGTAGGAAAATTGACTGAAATTTCTTTGTCCAAAACTTCTAAAACTTAGAAACTAGTAGTAAGAACAAAGATCGAGCAACCTATGAATACGACACCACGAAAGATTATTAACAAACAGTTGGACAGTGAGATACCCAACAGCCTTTGGCTATCAACATGCAACTTTAAATCCAACTTATGATATCCCAAGAACTGTGCACAGGACGCTTCAACTATTCAGATTGTTTATTCATCCGAACACTCACTTCGGTAACGTTATAAAGACAAAAAGGCCCCTGAATAAGGATTATTTTCATCACATGTGCTACTGCTACATATCAAATCTATGTATAGAGAAAAAGCAGACATCATTCACTGTATGCAGAAATATTGTGCTTTCTTACCTCTACCCTGATGTTGAGGTCCGTTTTTTCTGCTCCGATCGCTCCTCGGTCGCCTAGTCCAGTAATGCTTAAACCATGAGGAGCCTCTACCTAAGAACGGGTCATCTTCATCAGCCTCATTTTGCCACCTCTGAAGACAACCAAATGAAGACCCTCATGTTAAATTACTTAATGTTAGAAAGAACCATTTAGCGAATGATTGAGGAGATTCAGCTGAACTCAAATGCATGTTCAGTAAATCAGAAGATAAATTATGGCGAGTACTGCTCCAACAAGTTCCCATCTGCTTAATCGTGCATGTATCAGGAGAACTTTCGGAAACATACTTCTAACTTATACGGCTAAATAAAGTTAAAATAGAGGAAAATTGCTTGGGCAAGTTTTGTTCCTATAAGTTCCCATATGCTTACACATGTAAAAGGAGCAGCTTTTGAAACATACTTCCGACTTAGCCGGCTAATAAATATTAGAAAAGAATAAGCAAATTTCTTGTTCAGTATTTTCTACCACATGCAAAGTTTTGACTTTATATATAGGTCTCTCACATGCAAAAGTTCATGATCTACATAACATGGAAGAGCTCTCGCTACGTAGCTCTGACTGATTTGACAGTACTAAAACATAAATTACCAGAGGCAAAGGAACATCTAAGGCCTATCATACAAATGTAAACATAGGAATAAGATCATAATAAAAACGAAGCGAAACGAAAAACTCATATGAGCTGATAACATCTAAAGACGGCAGGCAAATCCTAAGCTTCTCATTAACAAAGTCAAACTTCACATCGCAAAGATTTTCATTCCACTACTCACAAGAATTGCATCCCAAACAAAAGGGACAAACATAACAACAAAGAGGTACAAAAAGGGGAAAAACCAAGTGCAGGATTTCTATCAAGACCTAGCATAATGTTCTGCTTTCAAAGGTCAGAGACCAAATGAATCAGGTGAAAAAGGCAAGTCTTTAATCATCCTAGGCAAAGATTGACAAAGAAGTTCAAAAATGAAAGTGGAAACAAATTGCCCACCATGCAGAACAGCTTGACAAATTACTAGATACTCATAAAGAACAACTGTCACAAACCTGGAACATGAAGTCAGCGTAAGCATCTACATTCCTTAACAATGTTTGCTTTGCATGCAATCTTCGAAACCTTCTTGAATATTGGTTAGATCCCTGCACATATAATTGAAGTCAATCGTTTGGTTTAAGTTCAAGCATAACGGTGTTACTAGGAAGAAACTCTAATCATGACTAAAAGGTCATCTAAATTGGCAAGAAGCAAACTGAGAAACTTAGCAACTAAGCCCCAGCAAGGAACAGAATGACCAAATAACCTATTAGCCCATAAAACAAGGAACGGAGTGACCAAAAGTCTTCTTAAACTAACGTCATACAGAATCACACAAAAGAACTAGCAAGATCCTCTCGTATTCCCTCACTTTACTAACAAACCTTTCATGAAACATAATTCAACCAACCTGTCTCAAATTCTATCAAATTAACAACTTTTACCCTCAGCCAATGGACACCCATTTGACGTAGTCTCGAAAAGTGGGGAAAAAATGGTTCTTTCATCCAACAATGGCAGATAAAAGTATTAGAACCCCAGGAATTGTTGTGGACAGCATCCTAAACAAATTCAGGAAAACCAAATGAAATCCCATGAAACCAATTCCAGCTGAAAATTTCCTAAAATCACGTCCAGCTTAAAGATGGACGCTTTTAATTACATTTCCCCAATAACCCAAACATCCACTCTGCTCCAAGATCGCATCACAACCAAAACCCCCCACCAAACAAAGAGCCACAGCTTCATCCCAATCTCTCTGCTCTCGTCATTTCCAGTGCAATCAGGAAGACCCAACAGGGTAATATGCAAGAACATGAGCAGGAACCGCGAAAAGAGAAAAAGAAATAATCATTGGAAATGGGGAGAAACTCACGGGTTCCCAAAGAGGGCGTCTTCTACGTTCGAGGAAAGGGGTCGAATGAAAGAAGGCGGCTCGGAGATGGTGGCAAGGCGACTGAGCGTCGATCAGAGCGGCTGCTCTTACGGCGGTATTCATTTAGGCCGAGATCAATCGATCAAGCATTCAAAGACGACACGCGCTGCGTGAGAGAGCGAGAGAGAGAGAGAGAGAGGCGGAGTCCCCTGAAGCTGCGGCCACTGAGCGAGCGGCGGGATAGCTTCGTGTTTTGTGAGTCGACGGCGGGTCAGGTGACTCGCTGCGGCGGCGCTTCAGCCCGAGAGCTTGTGAAGAACGGAGGAAAAAGAAAAACATAATTGGCAAAAGACTTCTTCTTTTTTTAATTTTTTAGGCTCCGTTTGATTCGCAAAAAATAATTAATTTAAAATTAATGATTATTTATATCACTTAAAATAATTAATTAATGAAAAATAATTTCACTATCGACAATGAAAATATTTTTTATTTGTCAAATATGAGCGATCATTTTTTGAAAAATAATTTTCAAACTATTCATTTTTTACGAAACAAACACATATTTAATTATTATAGATCCTGGCAAGCTCAAGCATCACCGGCCCCGGGCGAGCTCAAGGCTCGCCACTAGAGGCCGCAAGCTCGCCGGCCTCGGGCAAGCTTGAGCCTCACCGCCAGAGGCACAAGCTCACCCGATTTGGCAAGGCCCGAGCTCGCCGACCGCAACCAACCGAGAAAGAAGCAAAAAGAAAAAGGAAGAAAAAAAAATAATCGGAAGAAAAGAAAGAAAAAAAGAAAAAAAATATAAAATAATAAAAATAATTAGAAATTCGAATTTAAATTTTTTTTTTATAAGAACGAACATTTCATTAACTAAAGACCCAAGCTCGAGTACTGAGGACTCACACACAGTCTTTGTGGACCCGAGCCTAAAGGTTAGGACCAGAGCTTGAGCGTCAAGAAGCCAAGTATGGAATTAATAGACCTAAGTTTGTGTACCAGAGCATTAGGTGTGGGCACTAGGGGTTTGAGCTCGGCTCAATGGATTTGGGAGTGGGCGCTGAGGGCTTAGTCTCGGTGTCTTGGGCCCGGCCACCAAAGATACAATCTTGAATGTCGAGACCTGAGAATCAACATTGGCATTTTCATGTTCGAGCATAGAGTTTCGAGTCAAAGCGTCGATAACCAATCATATTTCGAAAAACGATTTTCGATTCTTTCAAAGAGGATCCTGAAAGTAAGTTTTGTAGAAAAATATTTTCCGTTAACTCATTTTCCGATGCAAATCAAATACTAGAAAATGAAGAAATTTTTTCCCGAAAAATGCTTTTCGTAAAATAGACGGATCCTTAATTAAAACAAGTCAAACCTTCTTTTGGGCCGGGGGCTCAAAGTCACTTCACCATATAGCTATGATCTATCACAGATTTTGGGAAAAATGCCTCTTTTGAGATTTGAAGATGCTTCCACCTCTAAAATGTATGGTACATATATTACATCATTTCTTAGCACACCATAATACGATTTTGAGTATATTAAACCGAGCGTACCTAACTTTCAAAAGTAGCAAGTACTTTCAAAACTTGATACTTCAAGGGTCTGGTTTTCCAAACTTTTAAGCCGATATAAGTTATTCTCAAAAAATTATTTTTTAAACCATTCGTTTTTTGCGAATCAAATAAAGCTTAGTTTTCTTTTCGTTTTTTTCAATTTTTGCGAATAATTTCATCTTTTACAAAACAAATTGCGACACTTAGAATAAAATAATTTGTACCAAGTAATTTTGTTGGCACCGATCACACGTAGACGTTACTAATATCGCGCACGATATGTAATAAGTCAGTCCAAGTCGATGTTGATGCACTCAAACTTAGCCAATAACACTTGGGCCAGTCGATAGATCGATCTCGAACTACCTTCATAAAAAAAAAATATCATCGAATCCGAAATGAAATACTTAGATTTTTATAAATTTTAGATGCATGTTACTCGTGGATTCCAATCCCAATCGATCACATCTCAATTTTATATACAAAGAGTAATTGACTTCGGTAATTTTTTTTTTATTGTGGGACAATAAAAATACACAATTATGTTTAAGTCAAATATTTTATTTTAAGGCAAAAGCCACAAAAAATCCAAAACTATACCCACTGTGACACATTTATCCTAAACTTTTTTCCGCGAGACCAAAAATCCCATTTTTTTACTTAGGTCAAAGAGAATTTTGTTGATATTAGTTGTGGATGAGATACTATCGGATTAAAATTTTATTCCAAACTAATATCTTGAATCATAGACATATATACATTCAACAAAACATATCATAAAATACGAGATATCAACTAAAATCAACAAACTATAACAAGGATGTCCTAATTTCATTCTGGTGAAATTAGCCAAAAATATTACATGGGTCGGAGTAGAATTCAACTTCTTAGGAAAGAAATTTTGCTTGAGATGTGCATAGTTGGTGGATCGAGATACGTATCGTTTTCCCTAATCTAGCATTTGTTTTTTTTTTTTCGCTCAATGGAGGATCATTCTTCGCAGATGGATTAGTCTTCCGTCATCCAAAACACCGAAAAGTCAATAAATAATTTCCCAAAAAAACATTTTTTCCTTCTAACAAAAGGACATTTCATTTTGATTACGATTTTTGGTACAAAGCATGATATTTACTTCTAATTGTACAAGCATAACGTCCATCATCGAGCATGAACAAAAATAGCACATTATCGGATAAGCAAAATTAGGTAAGAAAATGTGACCAATCGATATGATCGCTAGCAATTCAGAATTTTACAAATTCATCTCGTAGATACGTGTCATTCGTATCTCGAATCATACAAGTCGAGAATAGACCAATCCCGATAACTCTGATACAATACGCAAATTGCAAATTGGTGCCCCCTTCCTTTATGCCTTCCATATCTGGCCCTTCCTTTTCCACTTTTTCACCTTTTGGGCCCCCCCGGCAGCCGACATGGCACGTCGCCTGTTCGTCAACTCGATGAGTCGTGCGCCACCCTCCCTCCACCGCACGATGATGCTACTTTCGACCGCTTTCCCCGCCGTCGGTCAACGGAAGACTCGGTCCCGGAGCCGCGAAACCAGCGGGAGCAGACAAGTGTCCCGTGGGCGCGGGCGCACCAGATCAGACCCCCCGCCCCAACGCGATCGTTGGGGGACAGTTGCAATCGGAGGATGAGTTGGAAATAGAATTCCCCTTTTCCCCCCACCACTGTTTTTTTAAAAAAATTATTATTATATTTCCTAATTTAATTTTTTCGCGGCGTATTATTATTACTCCCACCCAACACCCTCGCCTTTTATTCGGGAGTGCTCTTTCTAAGACGAATTTAGCCCTCACCTCCCTTCCTAATTACATCTATGTCCTAACTCCCTAATATGGGATTAATCATTATTTAAAAATTATCTTGAGAAGCACACGAAAGAATTGGGTTAATACCACGAAAAACCCTAAATTAATACACCCACGATAAATTTATCTCAAAATAATTTTTTGGCCACAAAAAATTCTAAACTGGTACACCCATGACAAATCTACACTCCGTTAAATTGGATTAATACCACGAAAAATCACAAACCAGTACACCTGTAATAAAATGGAGAATAAAACCCGAAACTGGTATACTTGTCAACTGTCACGTGTCATCAAACTCAGAAATTTGACAGTAAAATTTAAACAAAACCTACAAGTGTACCAGTTTGGGGTTTTGGTGGTTAAAAAATAGTTTGGGGTAAATTTGTCACAAATATACAAGTTTGAGATTTTTCGCTGTATTAACCCTAAAAAGCAAAGAGGTATAAGAAACTTTGTATGCATGCATATAGATGGCCCTTCATCGTTTGACGTCAGATAAGCGAATAAACTCATTGGCTTTTCAAATGCAAAATTGTTTATTTTAAGCAGAGAGATTATCAAGCGCGCTTTGTGATTGGATATTATCAATGTATTATATTATTTAGATTATGTGGATTTTATATACTACTCACCATTTTTAAGAACGGTTGATATTATTTTACGATTGGTAAATTTTTTAGAAAAAAAGTAATTAGTAGACATTTATCAAAGGAAGCTTTGTATCCAAAACTAGATCCAATCACATTAATTAGCCCAATTTTTCTTTTCATTAATTAAGCCCAATCAAGAGGAGGGGGCAAATGGGTCTTTTCGGGGCAGCGTGGGGCGACCGAAAGCGAGACAGCTGTTTCTCACCAGGGTCACGGAGTGGGGTCCAACGATCGTCGGGAACGGACGGCTGGGATCGAGGCACAGCGAGATTCCGAGACGTTCCGCTCTGGATCAAGGGGGGCCCCCCTTCTTTTTGCGCTCCCTTTTTAAAACAAACGGAGCGCGTAACCGCTCTTCACGTCTCGAGCTCTCCCCACAGAAGCCAAGCGAAGCGGAGCGAGCGAGAGAGGAAGAAGAAGAAGATCGGAGATCGGAGCCGGAGATCGTCGTGTCACGCCGCGAGGTAACGATGATCCGCGTTTCGATTCGGAAGATCGCGGTGGTAGCAGCAGCAGCAGCGATGCTGGCGGATTCGCGCGCCGCTCGTCCGCCGATGATGATCTTAGATTCCGTCTGTTTCGTGGCCGAGGGAGTCGTTTTCCGATCGGTGCTCGTTGCGATGCGTGCGAGATCCGAAATGGCTTTCTCGAACGTCTGATGCTCGTCGTTGTTTCGTGTTCGGCGTTGGCCTCGGTCGCGTTTCCGTGGTTTTGTTTCGGCTCGTTTCGAGTTCTGCATGTGATTTTTTGCCGCTCGTGAATGTGTGTATCGCGATTCGACGAGCTGGCTTGATGTCGGTTCGAGCGGTTGAAATGCGAGCTGCTTGGCGTGATTGCTTTGCTCTTCTCGATTGGATCCTCGTTGGAGTTTCTGGTATCTGCGCTTATCATGCCTTGTTCGAGACTGTATTTACGGCGGATTCGAGTTTAGCGAGGCCGAGAGTTCCGACAGTTTGTTCTCTGGAGATTTGCTTTTACGTCATGCGCTCTGCATATTTCTCATCTGGATTTGCCAATGCCTCTCTGTATTTCCATTTGTAATGTTAACAGAAATAGTTAAAAGGCGCTTGTTCCTTCACAAAAAAAGAAATAACTAAAAAGCGATTGCGAATAAAATTTTCAGTTCCTTATTTGATCGTATTTTCACGAATTTTCCTATGTTGAATTGCATTTGACATGATATTGGGCAATTCTGCAGCAGTTTAGAAGATGGCAGATTCCGAGGATATTCAGCCTCTTGTATGCGACAATGGTACCGGAATGGTCAAGGTAATTGGCTCAAGAGTAATTTCAATCAAACATTGTATTTGCCGCGATAGGAATGATGGTAGTCAATTGAGCATTTTATTTCCTCTACAAAAGTTAAACGAATGCTGTGGTTTCTGTCGCCCGTGACACCGATCGGCTTAGATGCTTTGCGTAGAAAATGAAAATTTCTTAAAAGCTCGGGTTGCTCTCGACTGATTCACAATTATGAATGCAGGCTGGGTTTGCAGGAGATGATGCTCCTAGAGCAGTATTCCCTAGCATAGTAGGTCGGCCTCGCCATACAGGTGTTATGGTTGGTATGGGACAGAAGGATGCTTATGTTGGGGATGAGGCTCAATCGAAGAGAGGTATTTTGACATTGAAATATCCGATAGAACACGGTATCGTTAGCAACTGGGATGACATGGAGAAGATTTGGCACCACACATTCTACAATGAGCTCCGTGTGGCCCCAGAAGAGCATCCTGTTTTGCTAACAGAAGCACCTCTCAATCCTAAGGCCAATCGAGAGAAGATGACTCAAATAATGTTTGAGACATTCAACACTCCTGCCATGTATGTGGCCATTCAGGCTGTCCTTTCACTGTATGCCAGTGGTCGTACAACTGGTAAGCAATTTTACGAGTTTCTGCTTGTATGTTTATCATGCGTGATTGATACACGAGAAACCATGTCATTTGGGAGCAAAATATCTTCAAGAACCTCATGTCAGGGAAATTGTTCTGTTTGAGGATTGAAGATAGGCACTAAATTTGTTTGAACTCAATGAAAAAACTGTTTGCATCAATATATGGAATGCATGCGCACACACACATACACGAACATCCATCATTTCATACGTTTTCTACATCGGAGAATTAATGTCCTGTGAATATCCATTACGAAATTTGTGCAGCCATCAGTCACACGAGTGGCATTCTAGCCATCTTTCCGGTCAATGGCTGCTTTAAAATAAAGTTTGGAATGTATTGTGACAGATTGTATCTGAAGTTATCGTATCAGACAAATTTACCATGCCACCATTGTAAAACTAAAATCTCATCAGTGTTACAACTCATGCAACATCATTTTATTTGGATGTGGTATGGGCGTCCGCAAATTTTCATTTGATTTGTGTACCTTTCTCTATCTAGGTATTGTTCTGGACTCCGGAGATGGTGTGAGTCACACTGTTCCCATATATGAAGGCTATGCCCTCCCACATGCCATTTTGCGTCTCGACCTAGCAGGCCGTGATTTGACAGATGCCTTGATGAAAATCTTAACTGAGCGTGGCTATTCTTTCACTACCACTGCCGAACGGGAAATTGTGAGGGACATGAAGGAGAAATTAGCTTACATTGCTCTTGACTATGAGCAGGAGTTGGAAACTGCAAAGACAAGTTCATCCGTTGAGAAGAGCTACGAGCTGCCTGATGGACAGGTCATCACCATTGGAGCTGAACGGTTCCGCTGTCCTGAGGTGCTCTTCCAACCATCCATGATAGGCATGGAAGCTGCTGGCATCCACGAGACGACATACAACTCTATCATGAAGTGCGATGTCGATATTAGAAAGGATCTTTATGGCAACATTGTTCTCAGCGGAGGCTCTACTATGTTTCCTGGCATTGCTGATAGAATGAGCAAGGAAATCACAGCCCTGGCTCCTAGTAGCATGAAGATTAAAGTGGTGGCACCCCCTGAGAGGAAGTACAGTGTTTGGATCGGTGGTTCCATTTTGGCGTCCCTCAGCACCTTCCAGCAGGTAATGAACCTCACTCATCCATGCTCATTCAATGTGCATATTTGAGAAGAGAGATGCATTTATCGGTCTGATATATGATTTAACTTGTGGAAAGTTTAGTATGTTCAGTCTATAACAGGTCTGCAAACAGTAATGACAGTAACTTGCTATATAAGAGGAATCATGTGAAGTTCCGAAGCCGTGGTTGACGTTCTCTATTCTTTTTAAATTTTTGTTTCCCCTTAATATAATTTGCCTGTAGGCACCTCTATCTGCATCTAATGGATACTTATTCAGAAAGCAAGTATATCACATGCCGTTTTTTATCTGACCTGCAGATGTGGATTGCAAAGGCAGAGTATGATGAGTCGGGGCCATCAATTGTTCACAGAAAGTGCTTCTAATTGTCAAGTGGGGGACGGCGAACGTCGTAGAAGAGATTCTTTTATCACGGAGAGGGTTTTCATCTGCAGAAATTTTTCTTTTCTCGAGTTTTCCGACTTTTCTGTTTTCTTCCTCGTGATTTGGGACTATCGAAGGTAAACCTAAGCGAATTACTGTGAAGATTCGTTTGTTCTTATACCATGTTACTATAGAAAAGCTTCTTATCTTGGTAAACTCGGCATGGTTTTGAATCGAGATTCTTTTAAGGCAAAGTTCATTTGATGATTGTAATTGATGAGTGTAACTTCCATATATACATAAAGGGTGCTTGTGCAGGGCCTCTACTTCTCTAATATTTTATCTGCTATATGCATGCTATGATGGCTTATTTGGTTTCTAGTTAGAGGTGGCCACGGGCCGGTTTTGGCCGGAACCGGACGGAACCGGCCCGGTCAAACCGGGCCCGGCCCGTTGACCGGGCCGCGGTTGAACCGGAACCGGCCCGTGGCATACGGGCCCGGTTCCGGTTCCAGAAAAATTTGAACCGGCCCGGAACCGCCGGTTCGCGAAAAAAAAAATTAAAAAAAAAAAAAAGCTGCGCTGCGCAGTGGGCTTCAAGCATCATGGCTCGCAATGGCCATGCTGCGCGGCAGCAGCCATGGCCTCCGCGGTCGGCCATGGCCAGGGCGCGCGCGAGGTCGCCGGCGTCGGCGAGGGCCCTCGGCGTCGGCGAGGGCGGCCCTCGCCGGGCCGGGCGAGGCCGGCCTCGCCGGGACGCCGCGAGGCTCGGCCGCTCGCAACCTGGCGAGGCTCGACCTCGCGGCGTCGGCGAGGGCGGCCTCGCCTGGCCGGCGAGGGCGGCCCTCGCGGACGCCGGCGAGGCTCGGCCTCGCCCGCAACGGGCGAGGCTCGACCTCGCCGGCCGGCGAGCCGGCCTCGCCGGGCTGGGCGAGGCCGGCCTCGCCCGGACGCCGGCGAGGGCCGCCTCGCCTGAGGCCGGCGACCTCGCGCCGGCCCTGGCTATGGCGGCGCGGAGGAAGAAAAAAAAAAAGAAAAGGAAAAGGAAAAGAAAAAAAAAAAAAAAATCGGAATCGGCTCGGAACCGTTCCAACGGCTAACCGCCGGTTCCGGTTCACACTGCCACGAAGGAACCGCCGGTTCCGAACGTGGCCACCTCTATTTCTAGTCTTTCAGATAATAGGCCCAGTTGGGTTGACTCAATGGTTCACTTTAAGTAGCAATGACCCAAATAAGACATAGAAAACATAATCTTTTTCCTAAGCTTACTTAGGAAAAAATGAGAAAACAAAAAAAATATTTTCATCGTTTACAAGAACAGTTGAGACGTTTTGTTATTAGTAATAACATTTCTCATTTCTAGTCTTCCAAATCTCCAATGCGGTCTTCAAATTTGTAGTGAAGCCGTCATTATGTTGTGAAAAGAATTGGTGCGGGTGTGACCACGGGCAATTCAATTTTGCACCGATTAAATTCGAGGCAAAATAATGCAAAAAAAGTAATTATATGGAATTTTAATAACATTTCGTATCACGGTGACACCGATAAAATATTGAAAGTTTATTAGGCTTCTATCAACATGTGGGCTTCAATTTGTTGTATATATGAATTACAAGTTCGAGGACCATATTGTAAAGATGGTGCAAAGTTTGGAAAAACACGAATGCGATTGAAATATGAGAAGTGTTCGGAACTTTCCCTACGATAATATGTTATGTTGTTACTTGCAATGTAGACAAAGAGATGGAGTAGCGACATGGCAAATATAGCATGAAACAGTTCTTCCAAACTAGTAGCCGCATGACGGCTAGGGGTACTTGGCTGGTGGATGGTGGCTCAGATTGCGCAGCCACAAACTGAAACTTGGGCTATTCATCCCGAGCCCAAGCTGAGTTCGAGCCAAGACGGACGGTGCAAAAACTAAGTTTGTTTCATTTACACTCCCGGCACGACGTTACTCGGCTTCAAAGCATCCCTAACCCTAGAATCTTTTCAGCATCTGCAGTTCCTGGCAAGAGTCTCCTGAACAATCGGTAACGACACTCTAATTTGTGGGGTCATACACCCCGGAATTCTCATTTCTTAGACTTATCTCAGCACACTGATCAGTGTCGAATAGAAAAGCCAACCGAATCAGCATTGCATTTTGCACCACACGGTCAGAAATTGACCTGGCACGGGGGTTATTGTTCTTGACTTCCAAACTTTGACCACACTGTCAGATTCATGCTTGACCAATCTCCTCAGATAGATGGAAAAAAGATTTTAAGAGTTTCAAAACCTTGCAGATATCTTTCCAGTTCACATGGCATATGAAGTATCTCAAACTAATTATCTGAGTATTACAAAAATGTTCAATATAAATGACAGCAAAGAACATAAGTTGGGAAACATGAATCACCAGAAAAGATGAATCTTGTGGAGTTGGATGATGTCCGACATTACCCATGCCCCCACGCCCATGCCGGTGAAAGGACCCAGCCATCCGCGTAACTTTGACTAGCTCTCTTCATCTATGAGAATAATCGAAGAACTGTCTATTCCGAGGTCCACTAGAGATGCCATTTCGTCATCGAGCAATGTCGGCAGAGGGGAACCCTGTATCATCGAAGAGTGAAAGCAATTCAATCAATATGCAGAGAGGCTTCTGAAGCTCGTGAACATTGCGAGAACTTGTAAACTGACATCAGATGGAAAAAAGGCCAAATGGATGTGAACCGTAGAATCAAACAGATTTTAATAACAAACATCCAAATAAAGAAAATTTGTTATTTCCAGAACACTCTCATCCTCGCGTTAGATGTAATCAGTACATTGGAAGTAAGGCGCCGGCTCCCTTCTTACTGACCACACAGCTCTGTTATAAAGTATGGTTAATACTGCCAAGTGCCGTCCTCGGGGCACTCGTTAACAAGACCCAAATTAAAATGATGACAGGAAAAGCAACCCTTTTGTCTGCAGCATAAATTTGAACCGATGATTATCCTATTTACTATAGTTAGTTACAGTTTCATGCAACTGCATGTAGGATCAATCTCTTTCAGGAGAAAGAAGGGTAAAATATGCCCACAAGGCTTGTATGACCACTGCTCCTACATTCTCTCTTTTTCTTTTTCTTTTTTCCTGAACCTTGAAGTGGCAACTTAAAAATCACACAAAATACTCCTGGATTTTGCATAGATGGAATTCCTGCTGAACTTGCACTTCAATTTCCCTTCACTTTGGATGTTAAGTCACTATCAAGTGTTCTGCCACATCTTTGTGATAAGGAGCACAAATGGGTGAATTACCAGTGCCGTCCAGGCATAAAATGGAGGCCCATAAACACATCTTCTTAAAAAATCACTTTCCAAGATGTTGGTAATCACAAAAGTGTGCTGCAACAGATTTTATTAGTGGTTACCAAATTCAAACTTAGCCATACCCCCCAAAGATCTTTTATCAAAACACTCTAACAATATTTCACTCAGTAAAATAGAGTGTCTAAAATTTTTTGAGTTGGCATCTAAGATTGCTGAGCTTATGTACCATTTTTTTTCAAAATTTTACCTTCGGAGTGTTAAAGAGTTTAACTGATTGACACATCTCAGATTGGGTTTTGAAATTGAAAAAATAAGAAGGTATTTTCATCACTATAAACTAACTAGATCAAGAAGACATAAAAAAGTCATCATAATCTAATTATGTATCAATACTGAACATCCTCTTTGCCCAGGTGTTCCTTAGCTGAAGTTACGGATTTAAAAGAGAGGGAGGGAGGCCATTCACAGATTTAAGAAAAATGCATATCCAGTGATGAAGCCGAACCTCTTCTTGTAGATATAACTTTGGCCCGGTGGACTTTAAATTAAAAATGCTTTCACAGAGAAGCTTCAGCTTTCCAATCTGAAACGGATGAATCGCAGAGTTTAGAAAGACCTTCAAATTAAAGACATAGCTATGGAAAGTTCAGGAACATAACCGTGGTGGTGGCTGGCAATTTCTTTGTTTGTAAGGGCTTCTCACCCACGGATGCTGCAATGCATTTCAAAGTGATTGCTGCCAAGGAATTTAAATCAGTGTGATATGACTAATGAAACAGCACATAAGGACACAGATATAGCATCATTACATATAAGTCCTGAAGACATTTTCTTGGGTCCTGCTGCTGCATTTGATGGCATTTCATCTTCTATTCCATGAAAATCCTTAAGCTCCATAAATCTGGAATTGGTTTCAACTCCACATTTACTCATCAACCACATAAGCAGAAAGATGATGGTATATTGGCTTTAAATCTGAGTTTCGTCACATTGGTGAAAGTATCAGCTTCTAGGTTGAGCAAAAAATACCAGGAGCCCAAAAATTCGGACCGGCCTGCCTGGCCTGGACTGATTGTTTAGGCCCGAATAGGCCTGGGCCGGGATTTTAGCCTCCTTTCTTTTTTTTTGTTCAAGCTAGTCCAGGCCTTTGGGCCTACGCTCAGGCCTGAAATGGCTTGGACTGGCCCATTTTTATTAAAAATAAGGATATATATTATAAAATAAATTAAGAAATGAATTATTTATTCCAGAAACACTCTAATAAAGTCATAAACAAGTTAAAAAATCAAATCAACGAGAAAAGATGTGGTCGTAAGGGTCAAATTATGAAAAGTGGCCGAAAATATGTCGAAAAAGTGAGGGTCAGCCCGTGCTCTAGCTTCACATGTTGCAGAACCTATTCAAGGATATAAAGACTCACGCAATTATCCAAGATCTAGGTTGTATAATGAGATTTGACCACAGATAAGTATACCCTGCGTTTTGCTTCTTTCGGTTGGAAATGGAATACGACGGAAGCTATTATTCAACCCACATTATATTTGCCACTCCCCCAAATGTACGTGAGAATCAGATGCCATCCAATCACATTACACAATCACAAATGCAGATCAGGCCATAAATTATGATTTTGAAATGACCTGTGAAGGCACTGTTAGTGATCCACATCACCATAGGTGCGGGAAACCACATATCATCATCTTAGTTAAGCCATTCTTACATCTAAGATTTTAATTATCATGCTACAGTACTCAAAACACCAACATTCAACAAGGATCCACTTCATACCATCCATTTCAAGTACCTGGGATGGAGACGCTTCATTTCCTCTGGGTTGTCACCGTGCCTGGACATAACAAGGCGAACATACCTGCAAGGACCAGAAGACAACATCCAGAGTGATTAACTGCCACCCTGTCTCATCCCTTCCCTAATTCTTAAACGCAACAATTGTAGCAAATGAAATTCAAGAATAAATTACACCTATTTCTCTTGTATAAACACCTCTAATCCAGCTCACTAAAATGTCAAAAAGGACAGTCATAAAGCCCCGTAAAAGAGATTTTGGACAAGATTACGAGTCAATCCCCCTGATACCACAAAATATTCATTAAAAGGCATGCCTTTCCTCCAGCACTGGACAAGAGCGGTAAAGGGATATAGTTAAAAAAAAAACGTACCGTATCTCAGACTCCTTCCTTTCTCGAGCTCTGACCTGAAAGGTACATGGAGAGTACATAAGGTTCATTTACATTTGAAGAAGTGAAAAGCAAAACTATAGATGAAATTCACCTCACTCCCATTTAGTACTTCAACTCTTGCTAAACGAGCAACCTGGACAAATCTTGGGACACCACCTTTTGCAGGATCAGTGATTGGATTTTCAGAAAGCCTAATGTCCTAGGAGGAAAGAAGGACAAGCAATCAAAAACATACAAATGCCAAATCTTAATATGAGAAAAAGAAGTTTAATATTTTTGGTTGTCATTCTTTATGATCTGTAATAGGAAGGCAAATGGCTATACTTGTGGGTTAAAGCAAATGATTGAACAATCATTAGCAGTCAGCACAGATTCTTTATCCTCATAGTCATAGAATCACTTATTGACTAAGCAGTAGCAGACCCACAGTATTCCCCTAAAATGAAATTTTTGTATGACCACTTAGTGCCCATATCAGGGAATAACTCTGTAGAGCTAACAGAAGCAAACATTCTGACTTTGCTAGAGTTGATATACTGAGAAAGTTTGTGAAGTACACTTACTAGTAACACAGAAACTCTCAAATTACATTAAAACTACTCTGCAAGAACAATGTGATCTAATCAACAACGATTTTCTGAATAAAAAGGCACACTATGAAACTCGAACTTGGACATGAGTATTATGTTCAGTTACGTAAACTTGCCAAATTTCTAAATTAAGGACATAGGGAGCCATCAAAAAAAGTGTCCAAAATTTGGATACAGGAGCACGACTCCATCACAAGAAAAGATGTATATTCTGATATATTTCATCCTTTATATGCTTTGGACAGTTAAGATCTCTATGGTTTAATAATTTTAACTTTGGTGTTATATTTTTCTTTCAATGACAAGGGATGATTTCCCATATTTATCTTGTCAATCATCAGATTCTCCCCAGCTTAAATAGTAAAATTTTCGTTAGTATCACAAAAGTATCTGTAATTGGCTAAAAAGTTGTTTGGGTTTTCCAATCAGTTAAAGCTTCAGCTTCTAGACCCATAATACAATTGGTTCTATGGTTTGTTTTATTGATAAATGCCCTTTTAAATAAATAGGGCATGCAAAATATTGGGCAGCACTGCTTGCCACATAATATTCTTGCACATTCTACTCTAGGCTTGTTATGGACAAGGTTTTCAAAACACATTATATGGCTCCTTATTTTGCATGGAACTTTTCTTCATCTTCTTCTGACAAGCTATCCTGGGTTTTGGAAGCAATCTTAATTTTCGCCTCTGCCTTCCTCATCTTTGCCTCTACCTTTGAGTATGTTATGCACAAGCTTTATCCTGATAGCCGCAGAAGGGTTAGTCCTAGTTCATTTTAGTTTCATCCATCAGCAATAGATCATTTGCCTATACCAGCATTAGCCTACTTGCTGTCTGGGAACCACTAATCTCAAACAAGGTTCTCTAATTTGAACAATATTTTAGCTTTCAAAATGATGACAAAGATGAAAAAAGCAAAGAAAGAAAGTTCGTTCAACTCAAAACCAAAGAAATAAAAGTCCCAAGCAGTAAACTTTGTCAGTTAAAACATTCTACATTTTATCATCACCTTTGAGAAAAGGGATGTGAATCAGTGGTTCAGCCGATCCTACCAGTTCAACCGAAAAACAATTGCTTAACTGGTTATTCAGCAGTCAAACATTAAAAGCACCGAGTTTGGCACCTTGAGCGTGTCTATGTCTACTACACTAATCTCAAAACTCAAGATTCCCCATAATCTCATAACTAAAGTTTTCTCTTCTTTATCAGCCAAAAAACTTCTGCACCTTCTTGCTGACCAAAGAAAATGAAAAAAAGTAGCACATATTGTCCTGAAAGAAATGCTTACCACCAGCTTAGGGAAATAGTTCAGTGAGTCGAGAGATTCCAGATCTTCAATGCAATTGCCCCCTAAAACAGAAACCAAAATAGCATTATTATGAAAATTGGCTGGATAGCCACAATAAGGTATACACAACTTGTGAACAAGTTTTAATAAGTACCCAGAAGAAGACAACTTAAATTTTGGAATGGCTTAAAGCTTTCATTATGAATGTCATATTCATTCAGCTTTCTGCCGATTGAATCATTGCCAGGGTAAAATATCCGCTTCAACTTGTTCTTGTTCAAATGTATCTGCTCCAAGCTGAATTGGGAAACGAGTTACAAATTTTAATAAACAGTCCGGAAAAGAAAATTGGGACCTATATTTGTAGGACTCCTCCCTCACCTTCTAAGCTGGGAAAGCTTCACAATTTCCTCCCAGTCAGCTATAGAATTATTTTCCAAGTTGAGAAGCCGAAGAGAATCAAAACTTCCATCTATGAAGGATGACCCTGACTACAAAAACAGAAATCGTACAGCGGCTCCAGAAAGTTAAATCAAAATCTGAATGTCGCCCATAATTTGGAAGTAGAAAGGGACAAAGATTTTGTCAGAGAGAACCAAACACAAACGACCAATCTTTTTATAGACATAGTTTCTAGTTACGCAATATGAAAAGTCCGGCCAGGTATATTCCCAAAGTTTCTTCACCACAAAAGTAATATATTATCTCTACAGCAAAAAGAAGAGAAGTGTCGACCAACTTTCATTCTCAAAGAGTTAAGATTGCATTGATCGTCTTGCAGTTTTAAATGATTACAAAGAAATAATTGCGTGAATACTTTTTCTAGTGAAATAGTTTATATAAAGCAGTTGCTACAGAGACTAATTTGTACTTGCCATAGATACAACTCACATAATTTCCCCACTTATTTACGCCCTTTGCCAGGCCATGACTCTCAATCTCCTGAATAATTATGTGGCAGTAGCTAGAAGATTAGAAGTGCACAGCAAATAGAATATGGTACAAACTCAAAAATGCACAAATACTTTGCTGTCATTATGTGCATGACATTAACATCATATACCTTATTGTGTGTATTTTCCAGTTCCTACGTCCAAACACACAAGTTGATGATTTTTTAAGGCTGATTTGGGTTGGTATATCAGATCTTCCTTAAAAGCAAAAGGATGTCCCTTTATGCTTAGCATTTATTCTCTGTTGATATTATGTGACCATGGCAAGATTTCACATTCATTGGTTCATGAGCATTCTAGTATTATTTGATATTGCTGTACACAACCAAACATAAAAGAAATCCCAGGGTATTTTATTGATGGTACAGTAACATACTTCTATTGTGCTTATGTTATTTCCCATCAGATGCAACTCTTCAATTGATGGAAGTGAACCTTTAAGCATATCAACCTGGAAGTGCAAAACGTGCCATTATACGTCTGAACAATAGTTGAAAAGATTGCAGAAAAATAATTAAGGAAAAATTAGAGTACCTGCTCCCAACTTATGCCCGTATTGTTCAAGACTAGTACACGTAAGTGATGTAACTTTGGCATGCCAGTAGCATTCTTTCTCATTAAATTGTTAGACAAATTAACGACAGCGAGAGTTGGTAAAGTTTCACATAGCAAGCCAACATCCTGCAAATAAAGGTTCATTTAAATTAGCAGATAAATACAAAGGGTGATGTTTATTTTGGTTCTCGAAACGCTGCACACATGCAATAACATGAGTCGAAGAGCCGTGGCTGCTTTACGTTTATTTGGTTTTTTTCCACATGAATTACGTGGACAACAATATTACCAGCTGTCATCCAGCTGACTACAGAACGTTCACCAATCAGACAAGAAGTGATTGTACCATCACCTTGTTTACATGTTCTTTAACCAAATTGGGTGGCAACCAGTCAGTGATCACTGTTTCTAACCATTTTCCTTACCCGTCCACAAAGTTGCATCCAATTCCACTCCAAATAAACAAAATACAAAAAGATAAGAAAAAGAAAAGAAATTGGCCAAAATTTTTTATTGAAAGGTGTTACTTATGTAGAGTCAGGGGAAGATCATAGTTTCCGCTAGTGTGGTAATGAGCAACAGCTCATAATGTTTACAGTGGGTTATGCAGAGCATCCCTCTTCAAATTTTTCAGCACAGAAGTTTCTCCATTGGGTCACATCATCCCAAAATATCTGTAAGCGATATGTCACTTTGCTTCTTGTGGTGCGTGTCAAAAGAATTCAGAAGAGGAGCAATTTGAGGATCCAAGTATCCACTTTCTAGTTTTTAGTTAAATTTTTACGGTCTTCATGCACTAATTTTCCTTCTTCATAGTTTCTGTTCTAATAGTCTGGTTTTTAGCCTTTGTATCCATATTCTTTTATATTCTTCATGTACTAGAATAGTTCTCATTTGTATATGTAGAAAGAGGTAAACAAAAAATTGCTTCAACAATTTTAGTTAAGCAAATACAGGAATATATAATTTGCAGCCTTAATGACAATGAAAGGTCTATCAAAATGGGATTAGCAAGAGTACCTTCCACTCAGAAAGCAAATTTCCTGTCAAATCTAGCTCCTTCAGATCTGCAATATAAGCATCACGAGTTTAATGTCATTTCACCAAATATAGAAGCATTGACAAGTCTATTTGGTTAAGAAAGGGTAAATGCCTACAAGATTAAAACTTGTGCAAAATAAGTATATGAGTACCACTTTATCTTATGTGACTCTTAGTTACCACACTTCCGGCTGCTGTAACACACCAATGCCATTTGTGACAACTTGGCAATCAATTTACGCGAATCAAGTCTGCAAAACTAATCTTAGGTGGTGACCATTTTGGGAGTAGGTCTCTCTCTACCTAAAGTACCAAGCCACAATCTCTCTTCCATCTAAAGTAGGATTAAGGTGTTACACAATCTTTCTTATCTGGAGGAGAGGATGTTTTCGTCCAAAGATTGCTCATGACTAGGAGATGAAACAATCCAGAGTTTCTATGAAATTTTGCATAGGTTTGATAAATTGGGGCAACAGAAAGACAGTATTTGTTGGATATGATCACCAAAAAGGAGAATTTCCCGTTAGCTTACTTCAACACTTGCAGCTAGGAGGGATGCTTTCATGGTTGAATTATTGAGAAGCAACAATTCCGTTCTGTGTAGGTCGTGCAAAGGTCTGCATTTTGGAGAAGATAAGGACAAGAAACGAATGCTTTCAACTATCCCTTTAGCAACTTTTTGATAGTTTGAAGGAAGAGAAATCTTAAGGCTTTAGAAAATAGAGAGTCTAGTAGTGATTTTGTGAAAAACAGATGGACATAGTTGCCATGTTTTTGGTTCCCACAAGATCACTATTCTTCGTTTGATTTGATACTCTTTACCTTGCATCTCGTTTTGCATATGAAGGCCAACCCCCAGGTAGCCTTTTGATTTCTCTTTTACTATCCCAAACAAAAAATAGGACAATGGAAACTCACGCTTAGGTTTGTGAAAGAGATGGTCCATAGGCCCCGTTTGGTTCAGCATTCCTAAGGGGCTTTTGGGCTCGAAAGCCCCTTGGGGAAATGCTGGAGCGTTTGGCAAGCATTCCAAATAGGCTTTCGGCCGAAAGCCAGCATTAGGAATGCTTAAAGCTCAAAGCTGGTCCGGACCCAGCTTTGGGCTTTCAGCATTTGGCAAATGCTGAAATCAATTTTTTTCTTCCCAAACTACCCTCATTTATTCTTTAATATTTTGGTTTTGCCCCTTTGTTACTGTTCATCTTCTTTGCGCTCTGGCGAGGGCCGACGACACCGGATCTGGATGGCGAAGGGCTGGCGAGGGGCCAACGAGGTTGCCCGACCCCAACCGACGGCTGCTTGGGTCGCATGACCCTCGCCGGGGGTTGCCCGACCTCAGGCGATGGCCGCCAGCGCCAAATCTAGCTCGCCGGCTGCCGTAGCCCTTCGCCAGCTCCGGCGAAGGGTAAGCTTTTTTTTTTAATAAAAAAGAAAATCCCAAAGCCCTTTGCAAAAAAAAAAATAGCCAAACATTACTTGGGCCAAAGTAGCTTCACAAAGGTTTTTTTACCAAACACCATTTGTATTTCTCCAAGGGGCTTTAACCTAAAGGTATTTGCATTCCCCCAAGGCTCATTTGCAAAGTTGAACCAAACGGGCCCATAAATTTTGGAAAGATTGGCTTAAAGATTAGCAAGTGAAATGATCAAGAAATAAAAAGCATGTTTGTTGCCTGATAACGATTTGACTTGATTAAAAGCTATCGAGACACCGCAAAGTCACTAAATTCTGCATGAGACATAATATTCTCAAAAGACCGACAAAGTTAGTACCATTCCTTGAAACACCAACTAATGCATCATGTAAAATTTTGTTAGATGAGTTCTAGAAAATGGGCCAATCATGCTAAGCATAACCTTCTCAACTCACATCTAGCAAAACTATCTTACTTCTGATATGAAACTCCCTGGACAATGACCTAAAAGAAGTATTTTACAACATATTCGTACACAGAGATGGATGCAAAGTGGGGCAAGCAGGGGCCTTGGCCCCCTCAACTGCTCCTCCAAAGCCTTAGATAGATTAAATCCAATAACACTCCAAAGAACAAATGTGGAAGTGAGAAGCTCATTCCCCCGAACAAAGCAAGCTCATGAGTAATATTTTAGTATTTTTTATCATATTAGACTAGCCACCTACCCTCATTTTCACCTCTCTCTCTCTCTCTCACAAACTACGCACTGTGCACTCTACTTCCTATGTGAAAATTCAGTGGCTGTTTTCTCCCCTAAATTTACCATAATAACAGCCAAGATTTAACTAATTTTATTCAAAAGAAACGATTTAAACTGTAAACATTTAATAAATGACTGTTCAGAGTGGCCAACTTGATACTAGAGTTCAAAAAGGTCTTTCTGATTTTTTTACAGCTAATAGTTTCTTCTTCTGTTCATATTATAATAATTCAAAGAGACTTCAAAACCCAAGGATCACATCAAATTGATTTATTGAATCTGTTGATCAATTTGACAATCAAATTTTTAGTTCTTTAAGAAAATTAAAAAAGAAAAAGAAAAGGGAAAGAAATAGAACTCATGACATGCAGGACATTGCCCGATTAAAGCTGTCAAACCCTGGAGTTACAAATTAATGTTAACACTTGTAACTTGCAATGGACCTCATGAACAACCTACAGTGGTGACCAAAATTCTTGATGATTCTTTCCACAAACCTGTGATGCAGAACAAAAGATAAAAAATCTTTTGTACAGATAAGGGAAGCAGATGTAGTCATCATCTTGCATAACAGCAGCCAAAATCTAATCCCAGGACTTATAAAATGGCAGGAACAACAAGTTGCAGCATAAATTGACTTCTCAATAGGTTTTGTAGAGACAGAATTATTCTAAAAAACTGAAAACAGATAAGATTCCAAAAATAGAGAATGTTCAGAAAGGTAAGGAAAGAAATTGTATCATGAGAAAAGAGAAAAATAACCTTACTTGGTATAGTGGCACTGATTTTGCATGGTTCACCCAAAGAGCTAACACCTAAGTATGGTAGTGATACAGCTTTTAACTCCTCAAACCGGCTTAATTTGTCCTGTATCTTATCCATACCAACAAGCTCAACTGATACACGCTTGTTACTTGTTGAGAGGACATACATGTCATCTGCAACACACAAGGAGATGATGAAAAATCAGAGTTCAAATGAATATCCATCAAGCAAATCCGATTCAATTCAGGGCCTAAACGATATACATCGCTGAACCATGTCTAGGGAGGGCCTAGCAGGGAAGGAATTAACCAAATAGGTACTTGACAAAATGATTCCAATCAACAGACTTTTTGATTCATTACCTCTCCAGTGACCAAATTCAACTCACACCACTAAGGTTATATGGGTGGAGACAACGACAATACACATCCATAATGTGTCTACCTACAAAATGTTCACGAAAATCGCCCCTCAGATGTTCCCCAAAACAGGTCGATAAGCACTTAGTCCTTTACAGTGGTGGTGGCTTCTCCTCCGTGACATTAACTAAATAACAGAACCAAGACTATTTAACACATCTCCTACTCCTGCAAAAATCAGTAAAATCCCACTCAGTCTGCTTAAATAAAACCACAGTGAAAGCCATTAAGGTGCATTGCCTTATCAGCCTAATCATCATTAAAACTTCTTATGGCACAGTCGAATTCATCTTTTATTAAGAATTCACTCTACTACAACAAATCGAAGATAGGGATTCAATAAACTTAGTTTACGCGAGAATTCCCAAAGCGCCATCTCTTCACCAAACCTCATGAATAAGACTTAATATTTGTCAAATAACATGCTTATCAGATATAACACATGACGTCTCTGGGAGGCGAAAACTCATTTTGGTCAGCACTATGATCGCACGCAGTTGTTTCAAGCATCTCATCATGCAAACAACTTTGCCCACTCATTACCTAAGGCAACTCGGAACTTACTAGAGGCATCCTACTCTGTTTTACAAATCAAAATTTCACACAATCGGGATTCAGAATCTCGATATTTGCGCCTAGCTCTCCTGTAAGAATTAGGAAATAAGTTAAATGAATTACTTACTACATCGAATCAAGAGTCAAAACCAAGCTCGAATCCCCTTTTATCAGAGTACCATACTCAGAGGAAAACAAATGCATAATCTCTAACCACTCTTCTCGGTTCCGATCGAGCTCTAAAACGCGAGGGGCAACAATGTGTATATGCACAACCAGAGTTTCCACACATTAGTCCAACCGGACTGCGAAAATACATTAGCCAGCACAAGAAAAGAGCTCGCATACCCTCCTCTTCCTTAGTAGCCTCGCCGCGGTATCTGACGTAGAGGGCCTCTAACAAGGAAATGCCGCCGCTCAAGCTCTGGATCCGAACAAACGACCCGGACTTCTCGGACTTGGCCCGGAAATATCGGACCCCATTGATGGACCCGTCGTGCTTGCCCTCGCCATTGTCCCAATCCACCCCCACCCACGTCCCGCCGTGGCCCTCCACCGGTCCGACGTACTTCACCGTCCCGACTCGACGGGAATCGCCGGCCGGGTGAGCTCGCTGGTCGAGCTTGAAGGCCTCAAAGGGCGACTCGCGCAACGAGCCTTGCATGACTCGGGTAAGAACGCGCGCGCGCGCGCGAATGCAATAAGAGAGAGCGCAATGCGGGGTTCGTCCGCGACGGCGAACAGGTGGCTTGAGCGCGACGGTGTTGCGGCGGCCGAGTGTGCAGAGATCTTGAGGCGAGATGAGCGCTGCAACAGTTACGGCTGGGCGGAGGAGGAGGCTATGAAGACGAAGATTGGGGGCTCGGCGCGGCGGCGCTCGGCGGAGGCGGTGGCGGTGGCGCCGTTGAGGGCGGCGATGGTAGCTCCTGTCCTTGATTGCCGCGACGGTGGGGTGGGACTGGCAAGGAAGAAGAAGAGACGTCCCTGAAGAGTTTCGGCGAATTGCATTTTGGTCCCCAAAATCTTTTGGGACGTGACAAATTGCCCCCAAAGTTTCACAATTCATTCAATTTGTAACGGATCAATTCTCGTTTTATCAACAAATTATTTTTTCGACCTAAAAAAAGTAAAACAAAGTATTTTATTTGGGGGTTTGGCATTTGGCTGAAGAGCTAAAAATTAATTTTTGGATAGAACAAGAAATTCAACTTTACTAGATCCTTGATAAGATTAGTTTTCTTGAGCAATTATTTTTTTTTTCAGTGTCTTTTATGTGATTATATCTTTTTATATTAATTTAATTTCTATTCATTAATAATTTATTATAATTAAGTTAGAGGTTAGTTATCGCATTCACTTCAATAAGGAAAATAAAAATCCGCGATGGATGAAAGAACTTCGATACCAGTATCAAGCGTCTCAAATTAGTAACTTTAATGTTCTCTTAAACCAACCATTCTCCTTGCATGGTCTAGGGAACGTTATGTAAAAAGCAAATTCAACTAGATAGATTGAAGCTGTTCGCCATATTGATCCTCTGTCGCAGTTTTAAGGAAACATCATCTCGAGCTAAATTGAAGTTCCGAAAGTGAGTGTATGGCACTCGAGGTTTCTTAAATTTACCCGCAAAAAAAATCGGAAGATGATAAATATTTGGGCATCTTCGAATGATATCTTTCGAGATTATTTTGTCATTATTAATTTTGTTTTTTTTGTTTGTTCTACTCTAACTCTCAACTCACTCTCAGATTTTTGTCATGCCTCTTTGCAGAGCGTGGGAGTCGAAATCCACGTATGAAACTAAATGTTCCCACCCCTAACCCTCCTGAGAAGGTGGGGAATGGAACTCCCCACCTCCCCCTTTGAACAAAAGCGTTTTCAATTTCAGACCGCGAATGTGATGTTAAAGTACGCTTAACCACCAAATTCGCGGCTCGTTATGCATTTCTATCATCATATTGTGTCCCGCCTTTTCTCCTTTCTGGAACAAGAATCAATCTGCCTTAAAATGTGCAGTAGCTAAAACGACCTCCACAGATGATCAATCAAAGTTACAATAAGGAGCCAGTCCCTTCACCGGTTCAAGATCTAAAAGCAGATTCTCAAGCTTCCTTTCATGCTTCAAAATCCTCCCCACCTAAGGGTCTACCATGATCAGACAAGCATCTAAACTGCTAGTGAACTCGCGAAATAAGCAGGCTTTGGGAAATGCAATCACTCACTTATCGTCCTAGAATGTAGAAAACACTTTGCATGAAGGGAGATTTGACAGTAGATTACAGTAAAACGACAAAAGATACACACATTAATGTAATAGTGATAATTTTTTACTTTGTTATTCCAATAAATTACAACAATTGAATCGAGGCTCACTTTGTCATGAATCTTCGATGAAGTGAGCAGATAGCCAGATATCATAAGCCCCGGCATAAGGTGCAATTTCTCATCATCCAATTGTGTTTTCCCCCTTCCTGTATAATCTTTTGTCATCTATACTCGTGATGATTCAAACATCAGTTTCATCCAAGCAATTTACTATTTCAAGAAGACATTATTTGCAGAAGCAGACTAACATGCCATAACATTGATTGCAAAAGTTGCAGAACAACATCTAGAAAATCAGATAATATAGTTAAGAAAAAACTTTTCATATATCCAGATACTTCCCAAGAAATATTGACGCACAGAACGAAAAGGGACCATAACACAACAAGAGTGACTGAAAAAAGCCTTAAGCCATCTATGAGGACAACTCTCAATTAGGAAAGGATCCCTATCAGTGAAAGGATAGCAGCCTGAATCGCGATTATATAAGATCAGTCCAATAATGGGGAAAGAACAAGAGTGCCTCGAAAAAACCTTAAGCCATCTATTCTCTACATGATGCTCTGCTATTCGGCCAGACACCCTTTTCAAAAGTTTTTGTTAACATAAAGCCAATGTCTTTCGAATTAGTGCTAAGTCAACAATACCAGAAAATGCAAATTTACCCAGAGTATTAGGTGCTGTTGGAGCGAGATGTCTCCATCTCAATGTTCTTTTCATGAATTCAAGCTTATTTTTTGCTTCAGAGTACTTCTATAGATCATCAATGTTTTGACCTGATGTACCGAGAAACCTGAAAGAAAAAACCCCAGGTGAAATTAGATTAATGCATGCATGTCTTCAGTCAAATTATGAAATACTTACCTTATTGTGTCAAGCTCAAAACAATGAGGATTTGTACAAGATCTGAATGTGTTATAGGCTGAGGAACCAGGGGAAAGGCATCTGTTGAGAGGCTGAATCAAAAGCAGAGTTAGCAAGAACTACTAAAATTGACCATCTACGTATTTAACAATATCGGAAGATGCCAAACCTGCTGAGGCAAGGAAAATTTTGCTGGTCATTCAGCCCTGGCATGATATCCAAAGGCAACCCTGCAGCTATCTAAAAGTAAGTAAAGACTTTCAACAACCTGATCTTTCAAGAGGCAAGAACAACGATACTTTTTTGCACATAAAAGAATTTATACACTTAGAGACACTAAAATCACCTGCATTAGCAATATATCAAGCTCTTTAATTGGTTCAGACAATGTTGATAGGTCCCTTGGAAGCCAAATTCTGCCAGGATTGTGCAAATGACAGTTGGCAATTCTGCGTAACGGAGGAAAAACCGAGCTCATCATGATCACTATCCTTATTTGTTCTAACCCATTTACTGACTATTTGCTTCCACTCATAGAGTCAAGAACAAATCTATCATTTATTTTTTAAGCAATCATCAACTACGTCAATCAATGGACAGTTAAATTCAATAATTTTTTTTCCCTTGGGGACCCAAAATATGAAAAAAAAAAAAAAAAACCTTCCTAGCTCACGGAGAAATGCAACAAGCATTATGTTTAATAGCATGTCAATATACTACTGCAGGTCACTCATCTAGTTCGACACTAGAAGGGAGATTCCTGTACAATTTAATCAAGTATCTGTATATTGCAGAAACAGAAGGGAAGCTCTTCATATCTAAGTGCAGTCACTGTATCACATCTAACCAGATTCATATTTTTACGGGAAAAAACTACCAAAAACCCCAAACTTTGCCATCCGTGACACATTTACCCCGAACTTTTTTTGTAACACCAAAACCCCGAACTTTACTTTTTGTGACACATTTACCCCAATGTATTTAGTCCATGGGCATTTTCGTCTTTTTGCTTTTCTTTTTTTTTCCTTTCCGAGGAGGGGGCCCTCGCCCCCCCCCCCGGGGGGGGGGGGGGGGGCGGGGGGGGGGGGGGGGGCGAGGTCCGCCCTCGCCCGGGCGAGCGAGGGCCGCCCTCGCTTCGCCCGGGCGACAGGGCCGCGCGGGGTCCCAGCGGGGGTCCTTCGAAAGGAAAAAAAAAGAAAAAAAAAAAAAAAAAAGTGATCCTATTGGGTTTTGGGTTTTTTCCTATTTTTACTACTTGCTTTATTCCAAGGTTTCGTCCTTTCCATCTTAAAAATACCTTTCTCAGTTATGTTTGTTAGTGTAGGATGTAGCCTATGTTCAACATCTTCTTCTTTTTTCCGTTTATTTTAATTTTCTTCCAATTTCACTGTTTTTACTTATCATAAAACCGACTTTATAAAAAACCCGAAAAAAGTTGCTATAGTTTCATTTACTAGAAATATGCATTCCCTTTTTAAGTTTAATAGTTTTCTTCTTCCCAATTATTGTTTGGATGATTTATACTATTCTAGTTAAAGTAACTCATCTAATAACAACTCTAGCCAAAAAATTAAGACTCGTCTCATCCATTTGTTTGTTTTAATGTTTTCAGATCTTTGTTTTTTGTGTGTCCCAAAAGCACTTCTGCATTGAGTTTCCATTATTTGTCTTCTGTACATTAGTAAATTGAAGTCGACGACTAAAATGTCAAGTATAGAACAAGGGATCAATTGTAACAGAAATTCCTCGTCTCCATTTTTTTGCTCCCCGTAGTTATGCCTCGGAATAATACTACCTGTGCTCTAACATCCTACTCCTAGCAACTTAAAAGTATGAGAATGCGCTTGGTAGCAAGAGCAAACAGGTGCCATCGTAGTTGATCGTTTCATCGAAAGAACAATTTGTAACATCCAATGAAGAAGGCCGCCCCTAGATTCTATCTAAAACAACGAGATTTTTTTTTTGGTCAAATGAAACGAGGAGATTATTTGCAGAACTATACGCCTTTCGTTGTCGATTTCAAGTCATTGATTCCACTGCAAGGATTACCTAATTGATGATGAAGCTCGGACAAACCAATGTTAGTGTCTTCACATTAGGCGCTCTAGTTTCGAATTAATTATAGTCCTCAATCTCGCTTTGGCTTTCTAAGTAGGTTGGAATTAGTTTTTTGGAATCATACTGAGTATGGATGCCTTCGGCATACAGGGCTGAGCGCATACTGTGAAGAAATTAAGTTTTTCTGGACTTCCCAATGGTGCTTACAATAATGGCAGTTCCACCTTCCATGTAGAATTCAGATTCTTGTTTCCGTCTTCTGCTCTTCTCGTTCCCCTCCTGCTTTGCGTTTTTGATAATTTCACACTATGCTCACACCCTCCAGCCTTTTTGTCTTAACATACTTTTTATCGGCCCCCAAGCTGGCGACTATCCAACCGAGGCCTTAACACCACATGGATTGCAACCATATCTGATGTTAATAATATCATATTCGATTTGGCCAGTGTTAGCACGATCCCCATTCTTCTGCGGCGCCATATTGGCTGGTCATTTGTCTGTGGCTTCTATAGCCGAGCTTTTGCGGAAAGTTACCTTTTGCCGTTTTCATTGTTCAAACCGACCTGCGCTCTATTATCAACGTGGACGTGGCTCTAGCAGTGGGGTGGTCGGCTAATAGGAACCATCCTGTTGGAAGCCAGGCCATCCTGGAGCTCACAGTAGGTGAAGATTTGGTATTGAAAGATGCCGATGGTTTCGTCGCATGGTCAACCCAAACTTATGCTAAGTCTGTTGCTGGTATCAAGTTGACAAACACTGGAAACCTGGTGCTGTTCGATGAGAACAACACTGCGGTGTGGGAGTCCTTCAATGACCCTAAGGACACGCTACTCCCAGGACAGAAATTGAGGGTAGGGCAGAAATTGGCCCCTAGTGATTCCACGACAAACATGACCGAACCGGGTTTCTATTCGCTTTCTCTGACTACCAAAAGGTGACAAATTGCATTGTTTGTGAATTTCGCGAGAAATGGTTCTCTGCCTTCTGGTATTAATTTGTCTTCGGCTGTGCAGTACTTGAAGTTCAAATCTGAAGGGCATCTGAGTGTGTATCAGCTGCATCAAAATGGGTGGAGTATTACACGTGATACTCTAACAGACTTCCTTGGGAGGTGCGGTTATCCGATGGTTTGTGGGCATTATGGAATCTGTCATGCAGATGGACAGTGTAGGTGCCCGGATGGCTTCTTCAAGCCAATAGATAGTTTGAATCCTCAGTTCGGGTGCTCCGAAGTGATTCCTTTGTCTTGTGAAGATTCGCACTTTCAAAGCTTTTGGAGGTTGGTGGGACTACTTATCTCACCTGTAGCTACAGGGCAGATCACCAAAGCATCCCGGATCATGTAACGCTAGATGAGGAGAGCTGCAAAAAGGTTTGCGCGAACAACTGTACGTGCCGAATGGCTATTTTCGACCCTGTGGGAGGGACATGCTACTTAGTATCTCGGGTAATTTTGCTTGCATACGAGTTATATCCAATTGGACTATCTACTACTTTCATCAAAGGGCAGAATTCCTCGAATGAAAACCAAGTGAACCTCCTGATCATCCCAACACAGATGAACCTCATGCTTTCTCCTAAAAACAGTAAAACGGCACATGTCGTTCTTGTTATATTTTGATGTGTTCAAATGGCACTGGTTCCCGCATGATGGGGTGTGTGTATGAGAGGCACCCTTTGAAAGGGTGTGAGTTGTCTTCTAAGGGAAGTTAAGATAATTTCCTGTTGAGAGAGAAAAAAATAACACATACGTACAGAAAACGAACCTACGTTCTCCTCTCTTTCAATTTAACACAAAGAGTTCCATCGTTATTTTGAGAAGACGATGGGCATTAATACTGTGGAACAAGAATATTTTCCTCGTGATTATATTTGGACCGTTGTGAAATTGTAGATTCATCCATGATTCGCTAGTAATTCAATCTATATTCCTGAGTGTGCATCGAAACGTCAGTCGATTTCTTCCGCGACTTTTTACTAACAAGTTCTGATAGTAATCATCACTTCGGACCTCGGATCACTCTTGGCCATCATCTTTTTTAATGTCGTCAAAAGATGCCCATTTAGAACCAAAGGTGTTCATGAGGTCGAAGAGGAGAAAGGTGTCTATGAGGCCGAAGAGGACTATCTTGATCAAATACCCGGAGCACCTAGGAGATTCAACTATGATGACTTAAAAGCCATTATCGAGGATTTTAATAAGAGGCTCGGTGAGGGTGGATTTGGCTCTGTTTATCAAGGGACTCTATCTAACGGCGCCAAAGTCACCGCGAAGCACCCCAAAGGTTTAAGCCAAACTAAGAAATCTTTTCTTGCTGAGGTTGAGATCATTGGCAATATCCAACATCTGAACTTGGTACAGTTTGTTGGATTTTGTGGTGAGAAGTTTCACAGGCTGCTTGTCTATAAATACATGTCTAAAAAGTCCCTAGGTAAATGGATCTTTCATAAATCAGATGAGTTGTGCTTGATTGGCAACAAAGGAGGAAGATCATTTGTGACATATCATAGGGTCTGTTATCTCCACGCACAATGTATTAGGAAAATCGTCCACATGGATATTAAGCCCCAAAATATACTCTTGGATGACAAATTTAATGCTAAGGCTGCAGATTTTGGTTTGTCTAAGCTAATTGATGGGGACCAAACCCAAATTGTGGCCACAATGTGGGGAACTCAAGGCTATTTGGCCCCGGAATGGCTACATGCATCAATTACTGAGAAAGTGGACGTCTATAGTTTCAGTGTTGTAATTCTAGAGATAGTCTGTGGAAGAAAAATTGTCAAGGAATCTCAGAATCAAGAAGATATGTACTTGTTAGAAGTTTTTTTAAGAGAAAAAGCGAAGAAGGACAACTGTCGGATATGATCGATAAGAATAGTGAGGATATGCAACTTAACAGACCTCACGTGATCGACATGATGAGGTTCGCCATATGGTGCTTGAAATTTGATGTCACAAAGAGACCTTCCATGTCGACGGTCATCAAAGTCCTAGAAGGAGTAATGAAAGTCCCAGATAACCTAGAGTGTAGATTATTATATCCCATCTTCACGAATGACAGTGTAAGGATTGGACAAGAGGGTGTTGAATTTGTGGACACCATTTCTGTGGTACCCTCTCTTTTAGCAGATCCTTTTTTTTCTTATCGCTGTCTTTTATGTGATTATATCTTTTTTAATTAACTTAATTGCATCAACTTCAATAAGGAAGATAAACATTCGCAATGGATGGAAGTACTTCGATACTATCATCGAGTGTCTCGAAACAGTTAAGATGTTTTTACATAATATATACGCTTGTAATCTAACGAGGGTTATGTTTAATAAATGCAATCTTGACAATAATAATAGGGAAACAATCTTTTACATATAGAGTATTAAAGAGAAAATTTAATTTTCTTCACAGGATAGCATTAGGGCCACTCAAGTTTCTTTATTGTTAAGCCCTCGGGGCCAGCTCCGCCAATTGTCATCTCAATTGACTTCGAATCTTTTTAGGGCAAAAGCTAACGAAACCTCTAAACTTAAAAAGGGTATGCATACTCGTTCTTGATCTTACTCATCATGATCACTAGCCTTACTTGTTCTATCCCATGTACTGACTATTTACTTCCACTAAAACAGGTGCAATCCTAGTTGATCGTTTCATCAAAAGAACAACTTGTTACATCCAGTGAAGACAGCCGCCCCCTAGATTCTATCTGAAACTACGAGATCGTTTGCAGAATTATATGCGCCTGTCGTCGTCCATTCCAACTCGTTAATTCCACAGCAAAGATCATATAATTGATGATGAAGCTCGGACAAACCGATGTTAGTGGTGCTCTAGTTTCGAATTAATTATAGTCCTCAATCTCGCTTTGGCTTTCTAAGTAGCATGGAATTAGGTTTTTGGAATCATGCTGAGTATGGATGCCTTCGGCATACAGGGCTGAGCGCATACTGTGAAGTGAAGAGAACAAGTTTTTTTTGGACTTCCCAATGGTACTTACAATAATGGCAGTTTCACCTGCTATTTAGAATTCAGTTTCTTGTTTCCGTCTTCTGCTCTTCTCATTCCCCTCCTGCTTCGCGTTTTTGATAAGATCGCACTATGCTCACACCCTCCAGCACTTTTGTCCTAACATTTCTCTTCGGTTTGATCGGCGCCCAAGCAAACATCTATCCAACCGCAGGCCTTAACACCACATGGATTCTAAACAGTTCTGATGCCATCGATGCGGGCCTGATTGACGTGATCCCCGTTCTTCTGCGTGGCCATCATGGCTGGTCACTCGCCTGTGGCTTCTTTAGCGAAGGTTTTAGGGAAAGTTACTTTTTCGCCGTATTCATTTTTCAAACCGACACGCGCACTATGATCAGTGCGAATCCTGTGGTGTGGTCTGCTAATCGGAACCGTCCTGTTGGAAACCAGTCTACCTTGGAGCTCACGGAAGGCGGAGATCTGGTATTGAAAGATGCCGATGGTTCTGTCGTGTGGTCAACCCAAACTTCTGGTAAGTCAGTTGCTGGCATCAAATTGACAGATGCCGGAAACCTGGTGCTGTTCGATGAGAACGACACTGCAGTGTGGGAGTCCTTCGATGATCCTATGGACACGCTACTCCCTGGACAGAAATTGAGAGGCAGAAATTGACCCCGAGTTATTCCGAGACAAACGTGAGCGAACCGGGTTTGTTTTCGCTTTCTCTTACTACTGAAGGTTTATTTGCCCAGATGGAGACCGACCCTCCGCAGGTTTATTACCCATTGCACATAAATTTTCCAAACACAAGCAATTACTCTAATTATGTTGAATTCACCCAAGGACAAATTGCATTGTTTGTAAATTCCGTGAGAAACGAGACTTTGTTTCCTGGTCTTAATTCGTCTACGGCTATGCAGTACTTGAGGTTTGAATCTGATGGACATCTGAAGGTGTATCGGCAGATTCATAATGGGTGGCTTATGACACATGATATTCTAACAGACTACATTGGGGATTGCGGTTATCCAATGGTTTGTGGGCGTTATGGAATTTGTGATGCACATGGGAATTGTAGTTGTCCGGATGGCTTCTTCAAGCCACAAGATGATTTAGTAGTTAGCCTTGGGTGCTCCGAACTGGTTCCTTTGTCTTGTGAATATTTGCGATCTCAAGCCTTTTTGGAGGTCGGCGGGTATACTTACTTCACCTACAGGGCAGATCCCCGAAGTGCCCCGGATCTTGGAAATATAGATAAGGAGAGCTGCATGAAGGCTTGTGCGAACAACTGTTCGTGCTGAGCGGCTATTTTTGAACGTGTGGAAGATAGCGCTGGATTTTCAGGTTCATGCTACTTAGTATTATCTCAGGTATTTTCGCTTGCATACCTGATAGATCCGATTCAACAGTCTACTGTTTTACTTAAAGTGCAGCATCCCCGGAGTGAAATTCAGATTCCTCCCATTCGAAGTGAACCTCCTAATTATCTTCCCAGTGAACCTCCTAATCATCCCAATACAGATGAAGCTCATGCTTCTCCTAAGAACGGTAAAATGGCACATGTCGTTCTGATAGTAATCATCTCTTCTAGCCTCGGATCACTCTTAGTCTTCATCTTTCTTAATGTTATTAAAAAATGGTTATTAACCAAAGGTGCCCATGAGGTCGAAGAGGAGAAAGGTGACGACGAGGCCGAAGAGGACTGCCTTGATCTAGCTACAGCACCTAAGAGATTCAACTATGACAACTTAAAAGCCATAACCGAGGATTTCAATAAGACGCTCGGTGAGGGTGGATTTGGCTCCGTTTATCAAGGGACTCTAGCTAACGGCACCAAAGTCGCCGTGAAGCACCTCAAAGTTTTAAGCCAAAGTAAGAAATCTTTTCTTGCTGAGGTTGAGACCATTGGCAATATCCATCATGTGAACTTGGTACGGCTCGTTGGATTTTGTGCCGAGAAGTCTCACAGACTGCTTGTCTATGAATACATGTCCAAAGGGTCCCTAGATAAATGGATCTTTCATAAATCAGATGAGTCATTTGTGCTTGATTGGCGACAGAGGAGGAACATCATTTGTGATATAGCAAGGGGTCTAAGTTATCTCCATGAACAATGTAGTTGGAAGATCATCCACATGGATATTAAGCCCCAAAACATACTCTTGGATGAAAACTTTACTGCTAAGATTGCAGATTTTGGCTTGTCTAAGCTGATTGATAGGGGCCAAAGCCAAATCATGACCACAATGAGGGGAACTCCAGGCTATTTGGCCCCGGAATGGCTACACGCATCAATTACTGAGAAAGTGGATGTTTATAGCTTCGGTGTGGTAATTCTAGAAATAGTCTGTGGAAGGAAGGTTTTCAAAGAATCTCAAAATCACGAAGATATGCATTTGTTAGGAGTTTTTAAGAGAAAGAGCGAAGAAGGACAACTGTCGGATATGATCAATAAAAATAGCGAAGATATGCAACTGAACAGACCTCACGTGATCGACGTGATGAGGCTTGCCACATGGTGCTTGCAAGTTGATTATGCAAAGAGGCCTTCCATGTCGAAGGTCCTCAAAGTCCTGGAAGGAGTGATGGAAGTCCCAAATGACCTAGACTATAACTTCTTATATCCCACCTTCACGAATGACAGTGTAAGGATTGGACAAGAAAGGGTTGAATTTGTTGACACCATTTCTGTGGTACCCTCTATTTTATCTGGTCCACGGTGATGCATCCCGATCATGTCATATACTTTTTCTATGCTGAAAAATTGGCACAGAGGGAACTGAGTTTTTACGTATCATGATTTTGTCTATTTGCCTAACTGCACTATGATGTTGATGAACCATATCCCATTTTAACTATTTCCTACTGTAAAATTTTTCATATAACCTTGTTCATTGCCCTAAAGGCTGAAAATTTTGATCTGTATTCAGAGTGTTGTGATCCTGCAATTTGAAAGTTGAGAAGGGAAAGGATCTTTGGATGATTACCATTCCGGTGTATAAAACAGTACAGCAACTGTATGATCCAACCAATTCAATTTCTAATATATTTGTTTCCCAAATGTATTTATCTGTCACATCATATTTGAAGGTTTTTAAAATTTTGATCTGTATTGAGGATATCATTTGTTAGGGGCGTTTGAAGAGGTCCGGTAAGTGTGAGGAAAATGATACCGACGGCGCTCCAAGAGCGAATGTTCTTTTAGTTTCGACTCTAATAATAGATAGTAGAAAATTAGAGAGTATGAAGAAAGAGAAGAGTATACGCAAAAGTTCAGAAATTGCGCAACTTGGTAATTTTTAGACTAAAAAAAAAAACATGGTAATTTTTAGACTAAACAATTTCGATTGAATTTCAAAATAATTTTTTTTCAGTCTCTCAACTTGTTATAAAGAAGTGTATACACAGTCACATCTTGATCAGAGACGTGTAAATCATAGCAAAAGCAGATTGGCAGTTTCCTGTCATTTCGCCAAATAATCAAAATTTCTTTCACAAATTATATGGATTATAGATTATAATATAGAAAAATGTGTAACTTTTATTCCTTCCTCTCTTAAACAAACCATACTCCTTACAAATAATAACTTTCTTGTTAATTACCTTCGTTGGACCTCGCAGATGGCTGAACAAAAGTTGAAAAGAAAATTGAAAAAATAGGAGAGATATTTTTAATATGCCAATTATTTTTCAATGGACAATTTAAACCGTGCATTTGATAGGAAAACAAACAGAGTAAAGTCAATATTCAACCTAACAATTAAAAAAAAAAAGTAGATAATCAACTTTTACTGAGATGACGGCTATTGTTATGGAGGGCTACTCTAGCAAGATACAATCTATATGAATTAGTCTTTCCCTTGGTGCAGAACAATGATGTTTATAAGAGACAAAAAATTCTTAAAATAAAGAAAAGTATAACTAGATTGACCAAGTAACTTCATGTTTTCTACCAAGAAAGATACAGTATCCATGCAGTATAAAACAAAATCACCATTACAAGTTCATATCAGGACTCCATTTCTTGAACATTCACTTCCGTTACAACAAAATGAAGCACCGTCCGTAAAGTCTCACTTCTCCGTGGCCGAATAGAATGAGCAAAGCAGCTTGAAGCCGTTCGGCATATCGATCCTCCGTCGCAGTTTAAGGAAACATTATCTCGAGCTAAACTGAAGTCCCAAAAGTGAGTGTATGGCACTCGAGGTTTCTTAAATTTAACTGCAAGAAATTCGAAAGCGATAAAACCTTTGAGCATCTTCGCGAGTTAACTTTGACATCACCAGTTAGCGCTTTTGAACAAAAGCAACACTTTCAAGTTCAAACTGTGCGTGAAATGAGCAATAGGTAATCATGCATTCTATCATCATATTGTCTCCTGCTTTTTCTCCTTTCTAGAACAAGATACAATCTGCCTAAAAAAGAGCAATAGCTAAAACGACCTTCCAGATGATCAATCAAAGTTACAGTAAGGAACCAGTGCCTTCACCGGTCCAAGATCTAAAACCTGATTCTCAAACTTCCTGTCACGCTTAAATATCCTCCCCACCTAAGGGTCTATCATGGTCAGACAAGCATCTAATTGCTAGTGTGATCGTGAAATAAGAAGGCTTTAGGAAATGCAATCACTCACTTATCTTCCCAGAATGGAGAAAGCACTTTGCATGACTGGAGATTAGACAGTACATTAGAGTTCCACAACAAAAGATAAACATATGAATGTAATACTGATAATTTCGACTTGATTATTCTAATAAATTACAAAAATTGAATCAAGGCTCACTTTGTCATGAATCCTCAGGAGATTAGTCAGATTAGCCCGCCATTAGGTGTGTTAGTTTTTTTTATCTTCCATTACAATCTTTTGTCATTTATACTTGCGATGATTGAAATATCAGTTTCATCCAAGCAATTTACTGTTTCAATAGGACTTGCTCTTTGCAGAAGCAGACTGACCTGCCATAACATTCATTGCAACAGTAGCAGAACTACATCTAGAAAATCAGAAAATATAGTTAAGGAAAGACTTTTCATATATCCAGATACTTCATACAGGTATTGACACACAGAATGAAAAGGAACCATACCACAACTGCAGTTCCTGTCTCACAAAAGTTAGGAATGCAAATGAGTCTCACCAACTGCCCTTCTGATCCTGCAAAAAAGTGAACAACTTTCAGCCAGAGCCGCATAAGCTGCAGAGATTCAAAGGGAGTCTCCATTGGAAAGCAAATTATCTTGAAATTCTAAAGAAATTGCACCTTCTAGCGTCTGTGTCTCATATTTATCCTGATTCCCAACAAAATAAACATGAGGGCAACTCTCAATTAGGAAAGGATCCCTATCAGTGAAAGGATAGCAGCCTGCATCGCGATTATATAAGATCAGTGCAATAATGGGGAAAGAACAAGAGTGCCTCAACAAAGCCTTAAGCCATCTATTCTCTACATGATACTGTGCTATTCAGCTGGGCACCCATTTCATAAGTTTTTGTTAACACTAGTCAATTTCTTACAATAATTAGTGCAAAGTCAACAATACAAGAAAATGCAAATTTACCCAGAGTATTAGGTGCTGTTGGTGCGAGATGTCTCCATCTCAATGTTCTTTCCATAAATTCAAGCTTATTTTTTGCTTCAGAGTACTTCTCTAGATCATCAATGTTTTGACCTGATGTACCAAGAAACCTGTAAGATAAAACCACAGGTGAAAACAGATTATGCATATATGTCCTCAGTCAAATTATGGGATAATTACCTAATATTGTCAAGCTCAAAACAATGAGGATTTGTACAAGATCTAAATGTGTTGTAAGCTGATGAACCAGGGAAAAGGCATCTGTTGAGAGGCTGAAGAAAAAGCAGAGTTAGCAAGAGCTACTAAAAATTGAGTACCAACGTATTTAACAATATCGGAAGATACCAAACCTGCTGAGGCAAGGCAAAGTTTGCTGGGTCATTCGGCCCTGGCATGATATCCAAAGGCAACCCTGCAGCTATCTAAAAATAAGTAAAGACTTTCAGCAACCCGATCTTTAAGAGGCAAGAAAAACGATACTTTTTACGCATAAAAGAATAAATACACTTAGAGACATAAAATTACCTGCGTTAGCAATATATCAAGCTCTTTAATTGGTTCAGACAATCTTGATAGGTCCTTAGAAGCCAAATTCTGCCACAAGTGAGAAAATGACAGTCACCACTACTGCTTAAGAAGGAAAAAAAAAAACTCATCATGATCACTATCCTTACTTGTTCTATCCCATTTACTGACTATTTACTTCCACTCATTGAGTTAAGAATATCACTATCATTTATTTTTAAGCAACCATCAACTACGTCATTCAATGGACAGTTAAATTCAAGAATCTTTTCCCTTGGAGACCCAAAACATGCAAAAGACCTTCTTAGCCCAACGGGAAATGCAACAAGCATTATGTTTAATAGCATGTCAATATACAACTGTAGGTCACTCGACTAGTTCAATACTAGAAGGGTTGTAAAATTCAATCATGTATCTGTTTATTATAGAAACAGAAGGGAAGCTCTTCATATCTAAGTGCAGTCACTGTATCTTATCTTTCTGGAAGCAAAGAAGATTGTGTCTAGATAGAAAGGCCAACAACACCTCCAAGGAAAAGCACCTTTCTATGGGCAAGCAAGCATATGATGACATACCTGTCTGTTAAGAATTCCACGTGGAATTTCAACAGAATTTCCAGCAATTACAACATGAACAATTTCTGCTGCAATGCCTTGCTCCTGTTCAGCCAGCATCGTAGCAAAGTAAGCAAGACAGTCAGATTGATTGGCCATGCATCCTCTATTGATGGGATGGGAGAAGGAAAATAAAAAAAGTGGCCTTAACCTGTTCATCCCCAAGATGTCCAGTTATATGATCAACAAGAAGCTGAAACTGGAGGGGGTTACAAGTGCTGCTCCCAATGCTAAGCCCAGACACAAGAACGACATATTTGTCTTCTCCTGCTTGAAACAAAAGGCAAAGCGTGAGACGAAGTCCATAGCAAAAGACGTGCCAAATGAACAGACTTAAGCAGAATCTAAACTTCACACTCTGAGTAAAGAATTGCACATTTAATGAGGAAACGTTAACTATTTCCTTAAATGAAAAACCATACTAAAATGGGAAAGCGGGATCAAACATCATTTTAGAGATATAATGGGAAAACATAACCATGAGAAACAACAAAGACAAGTGAAGACGATGTTTTACTCTAACTAATATCCTAATGTGCCTTCTTTTGTATCAAGTGTTTTGCACACAATATCTACCTGCAGGCAGTGTCATTAAGAGCTTGAGACCCCACTGCTCATCTAGTACATCTCACTCACTCAGATTGCAAGCTTTTCGATATAGGTGTATTATTACACAAAGTCACTTCTCTTGTTAATAACAATACGGTGTTTGGTACGCTACAAGAACTTGACTTATCCCCACATGGTGTGATAATCTCTCCTTCTCACATACAGGGTAACTACAGAAGTACTCAAGACCGTGCTCTTAAGGATGGCCAAAAGAATGTACAAATGTGATGATTAGAACCCAGCCCTTGAGTAGAATGCACTAACTGCTTGAAGGACCCCTTAGGATTATTAAAAAAAATTGCTTACCTTGTTATAAATTAATCAGACACAAGAGTAACCCATGTTCCCTTCCTAGAAAGAAGAAACACAAGAAAACAGACGGAGCTGAATCAGTTCATACTTGACTTAAGAGGAAACTCCAACTGAGATGGTAGGCCTGCTTCAAGGACATCTTGGACTAGGAAGTCACCAGCATCAGTTTCCCTCCCATGCAAAGCAGCAACAACACCTTCTCTAGACATGTTAGTTCCCGTAATTCATGACAATAAAAGAAACTGATGGTGTTCTTTCCACTTCAAATTTGCAAAATTTGAAAAGTACAAATGACACAATAACACTACCTCTTTTTATGTTTTTTTCTTTTGAAAAAACAGTAACTCATATAGTTATAAACAAATAAAAGTATCTTTTACCAATACATTTCTTCTCTTTACATTCAGTCCCTCATTCTTTTGTGAACTTGAGTTTGTTTATCTTATGAAAAAGCTATTGTCAATCAATTAAAGAATTTCATCTTTAGTCCTGTAATCTGCAACTGATCATACCTGTCACATATGAAGTAGGTGAAAGCGAACTCCCACCAAGCTTTACCCTGCCACTCTCATCTTCTAACACAAGATGATCAAGAGGGTCCATGAAGTTGTGGCGCCTCACAAGTGGAACGGCAGACCTCTATTTTTTTTTAAAGTACATAAAACAAAAATAAAATTAATGCATCTTGGAGACACATCACAGTCTGCGTGCAGTGAACAGAACATAATTATACAGGACAAGATCACCAGGAAAATTACCTCTTTGGAGTATTCATCAAGTATAGTAGGTTTAAGCTTCATGTGCTTGTATAAAGTACCAACAATAATACATTCCTTGCCACCTTCTAATCCAAGTACAGTGCAAACTACAAGACATCATATAGCGACTATGAATCATACTGCACCATGGAATGTCAAGCCAGTGGTATTAGTGAAAATGATGAGGCTTCTACTAATAGAACTTCATGAAAGTTTTTCAACAGTTTACAAAATACTTGGAAAATTTTTACAGGTGTCCCTAAAGAGACCCACAATGCAACTGAAATAAGCAAGAAAAAAACTTCATAAGTACAACGAAAAGTTCAGCATGGGGCTAAACTTCTATTTTAACAAATTTCAAATCTCTCAAACACCATTAACAAGCCATTGACATATTAATTTAAACTGATTATGCGCAATTTGTAAGACTTAGCCCTACCCCATCTGCTGAAACAGGACGGGCAAAACAACAAAACCATGGAAAAGAAAAACAAAGTCAGTCTACCACAAACAGCTTCAAAAGAAAAAAAAATCTTCTGAGAAGAATTACAGAAACCCCTCGATCCCAAATGCGGAATATTCATTACATTACAAAAAGAGAAGGTCAAAGGGCTAAGATAAACTATAAAGCACTCAATACTTCCCCAGGAAATCCACCTCCCAATTGGGTAGTACAACCCCAAATGCACCAACTGGACAGCAAAACGGTAGCTCAAAAAATGGCACGTAAACGTAGCAAAGCTACAGCCTTTAAGAAGAAAGACCCTGAAAGCCACGAAATTTACCGGGGACATGGGGTTTCCAGTTGGGAACGAGAGAGTAGAGGAGGGTTCGCATCATGTGGAGACGAGCGAAGTAAATCTGACTGTACTGTTGACCCCGGTACATCTCCTTCTGTATCTCGAACGTCTCATCCTGCAACGCAACCCCCCGCACAAAAAAAAGAAAAAAGAGCCACCGTTGCGAAAATTAGAGAAGACCCAGATAGAGAAATCGAACAAACAAGACCAAAAGAAGTCGCGATCAGCTCGAGATTGAAGAAAAAAGAAGAAGAAAACACGCGTGGAGGTTCTCTGAGCTTCCGCGAGCAAGCACGCGCAACGCTTCAAGCGTACGGAGTCTCTCGGAGCCACGATCGAGGGGGAGAAGAAGGAAGGAAGGGAAGGTGGGGAAATTGCAGTACCAGGGAGAGGTAGGCGGACTGCTTCCGGCGGAGGGCGCTCGCCGCCGCGTCGATTTCCATGGCGGCCGTGGCGGGAAAAACGAAAACGTAGAAGCCAAAGTGGAGGTGAACTGAGAGAATTCGCACGGCTCCCTCCTTATCGATGGAGGGAGCTCCTGTTGATATAAATTAATATAAAAAATAAGGACTAGGTTGATCGAAAAGGGGATGTAGCTCACATGGTAGAGCGCTCGCTTTGCATGCGAGAGGTACGGGGTTCGATACCCCGCATCTCCACTTTTGTCACTTGCCCTTTTTATTTCGTATTTTTGGTGCGATCTAACATCGATTGCCTAATCTACTGCTATTCTTTGACCATAGCGTGATGACCCCACCAACAGGTGGAGACCACCACACGGCGATGGCTATTAACTCTCATACTATCATCATCGATTCTCCATAAAAATTAGCTGGAAGGACACTGAAATTGTAAAGTTTAGGATTAAATTGGCATCCGTACAATAGATTAATGATAAATTGGACAATTTTCCCATCATCGTACATGGGTAGCTTCTAATGTTCATGTCTAACACATTTGTTGTGGGGAATGTATTCATGAAGCAACTTGCGACACAAAGCGACCGTGTCGTCGTGCGACAAGCTTTTTCGGGTCATCTCACATCCACGACTGTTATCTCTTTGTCAGCAAAAGGAGGCAGCTTGTCGGATATTATTGATCTATGCTCAAAGACCGAACTCATTGTGGATTATCTATCTGATGCGGGGACTCATCGAGGGTGTGATATGTGAGATACGTTGAGGTGCTTTTGGGATTAGGGTTTCAAAGAGAGTTTTCTAGTTTGGTCTTTAGATTTTGGGGTAAAGGGTTGGAGGGAATTATGTCCAACCACCATTTTTAATGGAGTCCATAGCCCACACGCGAACTCAAACTGAACAAAAGACAAAACATAAAAGAAAGAAACAAAGATACACCAAACTACAAACAAAACCAATCGCCGCCGTCGACATTGCTTCATCAGTACGCCACATCCGCAGCCCCTCACCTCCGCCAGCAGCCCTTGCACCCCCCCGATTCTCTCTCTCTCTCTCTAGTCGGGTCGGACCAGTCGGGTTGCGGACGGCTTGAATGCCGCTATGGGACCTTAGCCACCTCCCCGGCAACCGTGGATGTACGGTTACTACCTCTGCAAGTTGCAGAAAACAGGGACGACTGTGGGGGCTTACGGCGAGAGGGGTGCAGCTCGATGATAGCGGCCTACAAGCTTAGTAAGCAGTGTTGACATCTAAATTTCGACATGAGGTTATGCTTATTTTTTCTGTTGATATTATTAAAATGCAATAAATGTTTGAAAGTTACTTTTACATAATATGCTATCGGTTTGAGGTTAGTTTCTTTCAAGTAGATGGACTCATTTGCTTTGTTGATTGATTTATTTGGTGATATTAATTAAACTGAAATAGATGTTTAAAAGTTACTTCACATAATACATTATAGATCCTTCATGACAAAAATGAAAGTGGTGGATGCATTTGAAATATATATGATCTAGAAATCCATTGATTCTCATCCAATCTGCCAAATCACGCAAATCATATAAGTATTTCATATGATGAATACACCAGATATCGTGTAACCAACCAATTGAAAGTGGGAAAAATTACACACAAAAATCTAAACCTTGTGGCACGGAATGCAACGAAGCCCTAAATCTATCAATTGGTTTAGCAAAGTCCTAATCCTCTAGTGCGGTCGAGTCCTAAACCTTTCAATTAGTTCAATTAAATCTTAAAACTTACGGTGAAAAGTTCAATTTAAGGATATTAAGTAGATACATTTTTAGGGGGAAACTTTTTAAAAGGTCCTTGACCTATTGCATTTTTACCAATTCAGTCATAAACCTTTTAATTTTGCCAAGTAAGTCATAAACCTTTACACATTTTACCAATTAGTACATCTGACCAATTTTGCCCAGAATTTGCTGATGTAGATGCCGACTGTCGCATGTGGCACAGACAGTTGGCGCGGACATAAACAATTTTTAATAATATTTAATATTTTTTCAAAATTTTATTATTTTTTCTTCTTTTTTTTTTGCCTTTGTTCTTCCTCCTTTTGCCGGTGATCGGCAACTAGCCACAGGCGATGGCTGGGCAGGTTGGCCTCACCTGGGTGAGGGTGGTCGTCGCCGCCACAAGCGAGGCTTGGCCGGGCTCCCCTCGCCAAATCGGGCTAGGCCAGCCCTCGCCGGGCATTGCATGAGGGTCGGCCTTGCCCAGGTCAGGGCGACCTTGTTAGATCTGATGAGTAGAGCCCTTGACGGGGCTCGACCTCGCCTAGCTAGGCCTTGCCTGTACCTAGTGACGGCGACCCTCGCCTAGGCGAGGTTATCCCACTGGGCCATTGCCTGTGGCTAGTCACTTGCAAAATAAAGAAGAAAGGAAAAAAAAAAGAAAGAAAAAAAGACAAAATAAAAATCATGAAAAATTATTAAAAAATTGTCCACGTCAGTGCTGGTTGTGTCATGTAGGACAGCCGGCGTTCACATTAGCGAATTCCGACCAAAATTGACTGAATATACTTAATTGGCAAAATTGAAAGGTTTATGATCGAATTGGCAAAAATATAATAGGTTTATGACTTTTTCGATAATTTTCCTAAATTTTCGGTGACTCACGAGCAACTTTGGGTACGGATTTAATAACATTTTTTTTGAAAAAAAAAAGTTTCAAGCTTTAATTAAATTAAATTGAAAGGTGTAGAACTAGATTATATTCCATTCCGTACACAAGGGTTAGGACTTATAAGATGTCGGACTTGCGGTTTTTCCATGAAAATTGAGATGTACAACCCAAATGGCATTAAGTAGAATGAGATTCAGAACACCATGACAATGACACTTGGTTGATTTACACCATGTTATCTTTGTCGTATGCGCACTCGTCACTTGAAAATGCCACAAAGAGGAAGATGGGGAGCGGGGTTTGATTCGCGAGGTCTGAAAGCCACACACGAGGCTGGGCACGCGGGTTGACTTTGAGATGTGAACGAACCCAATTTTGCTGATATCCCGCACTCCTAAACAAAAACAGGTCCTTTGCCCGTACGTCACCTGGGTGAGATATTTGCTGAGCGATATGCCCTTGCACCGTATGAATTCATTATTTCTTGTTCATATGGTTGATCACAACATTCACCCATAACCCATGGCGAAGTATTATTGATTTTAAGTACCGGCGTAATCCCGTCATTCGGTCTGGCTTTTGTCTTCCTGCTCGAGTCGCCGTTTCGAAAACTGTAGCGTGATTATCTTCTGTTAAGGCGTGAATGATAATCATTATGTTTCTATAATTTTTTATTTTTCTATTTCTAGGAATATGTTTGGAATAAAAATCCATTTGGCCACGCAATTTTATTTTTCTATTTCCAGGACAAATTGTTAGCTCGGAAATATGTTTTTAACAAAAATAAGAAGTATAAATTTTCTACTTTTTTATTTCTGAAACGAAAATAGAAATAACAATTCTTCTCATAGCTCGCCCTCACCACCCGCCGCCCGCCACCCGCCCGCTGATGTATGAATTCTACATCGATGCTATTGAACGATTTTCTGTTCCAAAAACAGAAAGTTCGTGTCATTATTAAACACTACTTTTTGCTCAGAAACTCGTTCGGGGAATAGAAATAGAAATCTATTTCTGGCCAGAAATTGGGCTTGGGAACAGAATAATTATCATTCACGCCCTTATAGTACCCAAATATTCGTTTTGAGGGATCTTTGCTGATATGAGCAAATCAGTTCTAGCCTTAAATCGCAGTTTTGTACTTTAAAGACGTGAACTCGTAGCAGCCTCGACTCTTTCGAAATGGATCCATTCTTTCGCTAATGGGGTTCGATAACTTGTCATGAAATTTGGTGCAAGACCCAATTGATTGATTAACAAAACATGAACAAGGTTAGGTTATCATACATGTACATGACAAGAATAAGGAATATACTCCCCAATTGCCTTTTGAAGATGTGTTTGTCCATGATCCGAAGCTCGTCTTACCTGTCATCCTCATCTCATTTCCTTTTTGTTATTAGAGTAAGCTAATCAGATCCAGATGTCACGATGATATTAATATTACAAGTTGCGAGGAAGATAGCTTGTCGGGGCCCGTTGACTTGACCTCCAAAGTCAAGAACTGATGTAAACCCCCAGGCGTCGACCAACATGCTTTATTATTTGCCCTCGCAATGCTTTGTGTTATGTTATTTAAGGATGAATTGTGTATCCGTCGACAGAAATATGTCTAAGTGTGAACGGATCCTCTGTTTTTTAATGTTCCACATCGATTATCTGTCTATTGGGTTTTGATGCGGCTCATATACAGGTGGTCTATCCCGGCTAAAGGCTTAAACTATCGTCCCCTGTTCTTCCCCAAGTTCATTTTGCGTGTGTCGCTTCCGGTTTGCGTAACATTCTCAACACGGTTTGCACTTAAGAAGGGGTGTTAGAATATCTCACGTTATTTGTGTATAGGGTTTCAATGGATTTTATCCAAATGTTTTCTTGTCTCCACCTAATAGCTTCTAATCAATGTTGAGAGGGGGACCAAACCATACCGAAAAAGGATTCATGATCGGAGACATTTATGCTCCGTTTGTTTTGTGAAAAATGAGTAATTGGAAAAATATTTTCCAAAAAATAATTGCTTCTATCGTTTGAAATAATTAGTCAATGAATTTTTTTTCATTATCGACTACTATTTATGTCCAAACATTTTTGTGGACGGTGGAAATATATATTTTTTCATTCATTCTATAAGTGATATAATCTATTATTTTTAAGTAAATATTTTTCAAGTCATTCGTTTTCCACGAAAGTGAGATTAGCATGTACTTAAAGATTCATGCTCCATAATTTTGAAATTGAAGAAAGAGTTCCAATTTCTGAATTCACTGAACATGCATAGAAGGCGATCTAGTGTCATTACAACAACACCTAATGAAAGTCTAAGAATTCATCAAGTTAGACAAGTTTTAATAGGTGAACTTTTGGCTGGTGTATAAACGTTAGTCCGGGATGCCGCTGAACCACCGTTTCAATAGCACTTTTCGGTGCACTTTGATTTTCTAATATCTAAGATATACGGGGGAATATACAAGTACTTTTCTTGCAAGAAATCCATTGATACATCAAGTCTCCCGTATACAAGTCCTGTGGATATATATGCTTGTCTACTGTACATTGTATGTCAACCAAGGAAAACCCTCAAAAAGAGACGTACATAAACCCACATTGAATACAAAAATGAAGAAAAACTCCAACCCAAGTAGCCAAATCAAACAAGAACAATACAAGATCCTTCAAAGAAAGCCAACAGCACCCCCCTAGCAGATCCTACCACTTTGCTTCCATTACATCCTCGTTAATGGAGCAAGAAGTAGCAGCAGCAATCTCCACCAAAATGCAGATTCAGTATCCCATACGCTATGTTTCATCAATATTTACAGCATACAAATCCTCCCTCACCAGATTAATGGATGGTACAAAGGCTGCAAATGGACTGGTTTTCCAGACAAATCATTCTCATCGCCACTAAGATGGGTACTTATATTTTCAGAAGTGTGACAATCTGAATCAAAGATGGTAGATTGGGGCGTTTGAGAAATTAGTTCAGACAGTCTGTGTACCGTGTATAAAATCTTTACACAGCAAAGTAAAGAGAGAGAGAGAGAGAGAGAGAGAGAGAGAGAGAGAGAGAGAGAGAGAGAGAGAGAGAGAGAGAGAGAGAGAGAGAGAGAGAGAGAGAGAGAGAGAGTATGAGCATTTTCATCGATCAACCGACAAATTTGATGTCAATCTCAATCCCCTAAAACCCTGAAACCAAATCTTGAAAACTCTCCACTCACTATAGAATTCTCCATCCACACACCCGCTTGCATGTTTCATCAGGAGACATGGTGATGGAGATGCTGGTGATGGTTTACATCAAAGGAGGGGATTTGAGAAGCATCCACAGGCAACAGAGGCAACCCTCCCAACTCAAGCATGAAACCGTCCAAGTCTGCAAAATCCTTCAAGTACCCACCTCCATCTCCTCCACCTCTCATCATCATCATCATCGCGTCTTCCTCCTTCATCCTCTCCCTCAGGTCGAACCCACGAAGCAGGTTTATCTGCTCCATCTTCCTTGGAATCGGCTTCTCAGGCATGATCTTTTGATGACCTTCTCTTTTGGGGACGATGAGCGCAGATGACTTCCTTTTCCGGCTCTTCTGATGGTCGGCAGCGCTGGCGGAGGGCTTCCCTGTGAGGCGTTGCACGAGTCCCCGGAAGTTGGCGGTGTCGGTCTTTATGATCTCCGGGGCGAATATGTGGATTATCCTGATCTTGGGTTTGACTTTGGCAATTGATCTTGAGTCTCTATGGAACCCTAGGGCAGATGATGGGGTTGAGGTGGAGCTTGGGTTCACCATGAAGGGTTGTTCCCTCAGGATCATCTCCTCCATGGCAACAAAGATATCTCAGCTGTGTGTGTGTGTGTGTGTGTGTGTGAGAGAGAGAGAGAGAGAGAGAGAGAGAGAGAGAGAGACGGCGGCGGTGTTGGTGGTGGTGGTGGTGGTGGTGGTGGTGGTGCTGAGGGGGTTGGTGAATTTGTTTAGAAGATGAGAAGAGGAGGTTTTTTATATAGAGTGGAGGAAGGAATAAAGAAAGGTTGTTTAGTTGGGGAAGGCAAAGAGAAAATAATGATTAACAAAGCATATCAAGCTGTCTTTTCGAAGGGAGGGTTGGATCATGGATCGTTGTCAAGCAGAATACGGGGGCGATTCTGTAGAAATAATAGAACTAGGTTCCCCCAAATTCTCATAACTTCAACGAAGACAAAATGGCTCTTTAGGTGAACTTACAGGCATATATTTCTTCTCCCACGACATTTTTAACGTGGGCATACCGATTCAACAGTTCACATGAACCTAAAACATAATTATCAATTATATATACATGTAATAATTTGTTATAGAGAGGGATGTACGACTCCATAGTCATTTGATTAGCTCAATATTTGAGAAACTTTTGCTACTATTTATGTTCCCCTCTACAATCAGATGTGCAATTCAGGGATTCCGAGAACATATGAAACCCCCGACCGAGATGATTTTACAATGTCGTTTCACATGCCGTTAGGGATTATGTGCCTATAATAACCATGGATTTTGAAACTTACAATTGAGGGATTATGGCTCGGTTTCATGATTGTGGCCCTCAAAAATTCACCCCCTAGCTTCCAAACACGAAACCCTAACTAAAAAACAAAAGAGACTAAGCAGATGTTATTTGTCAAGTCATGTCTCTTGGTGGATCCAGCTTAGGGTCAAGGATCAGTTGCCAAATGGTTAGGGCTTAGAATATACAAATACGGACTGTTACGGCAGTTTCTTTACCCCCTTGCTATGCTATGCGATGCCACTACTTAGGATATTCCAATACTTATATAGGATGATCCAAGTGTCATGCCTTGCACAATCCAACAGCTGTATGCTTTCCCGCGTTCTCCGACCTTAAAATAAACGAAACCAGAAGACAGCAAGAATCATGCCCTAATTCTCACTTTTTTTTTTCTCTTTCTTCTTGTTTCGATTTTGGCCGCCCTCGGCGAAACATATGATGTCTTTTCCCAATGGTCTTTAGCGCTCTATGAAAGTGAGATCCTGTATCCCCACGTCGGTATCTCTGTTCGGTACCTCATCCGTCTTGTGAGATCTTATGAGACTACCGACAACGGTTAGAAAAGCTTAAACTGTTAGATGAATGTGTGTTTTTGATATTTAAATAGGTTAGATTTTAGCCTGAGCCCAAAGCGTGGAAATATGTAATTGTGGAGGCTAATAGAGACTAGAAAGATTTGGATTCAAGACATCTTGCTCTGATACCATGCGAGATTTTGTGGAACTACCGAGCAATAAGGTGTTGAGTTCAAATCTTTTCAAATCCCTTAATTGTCTTCCTTGTTATATATTTCGACGCTTAGTATTAGGCCAAAGTCCATCCTAAGCGCGAGGGGAGTGTTATAATATTATACATTAAATCACATAGTTGACAGTGTTCTCATGAATTCTCACCCATTTAAACTATTGATGCATGCGAATAAACAATGGAAACATGTTGTGGCATCCAATGGAGGCATGGAGCAGAGCATGAACCCCACCGGCTTGCTCCCATCATTTTAAGATCACCATCTCACGAGATCGAGGTGCACCCGATGTTTACATATCATTAAGCGGACGTGCCACAAGTGCCCTTGACTTTGATACACTCGTGTTGATTACTGCAATTAGATCGATCGAGCAACGAGTACTCAGACGTTGGCATCCACCGATGAACCTATAGTTTTACATATGACATACCGTGTCCTTCCCAATTTATGAAATTAGGCCTCTTTCCCGACTTGCAAGACTCGGTTTTTACGAATGCGCTCTTTAATAGTGCAGGATTGAGGCACCAAAGTTCGTAGTCTCTCCGTCTCACACACAAGAAACAAACTATATGACTAAGTTATTGATTGTTGGTTGAACTTCCTAGGACCAAATGACCATCCACACTTTTTTGGGCATGGACGTCTGCATCTTGTACATCTATCGTGATAGAAAAAGATCACTTTTGACTTCATTTCGTCCAAGTGCAGATATGAGTGATGCACTTATCGGGCTTGAGAAACTCTTTTCTTTTTTCCCTAAGAAATTGACCAATAAATTAGAAGTAACGAGGTTATTGGTCCTTTTTAGTCCCTTCTGCAACCTGTCTTCGATATAATCAAGAATGTGCATCATCCACAAGTGTTGCCAATCACCAAATAATGGTTAGGAAATATAGAGTGACAAAAAGACCAGTTAAAGTTAATTACCTCATACTAGGTCTTTGGCGAGAAAATTGTTCAAAAGATCATAAATTTATTGCACTTTTACCAATTCTACATGAAACTTTTAATTTTGCTAATTAAATTTTAAACATTTTCACGTTTTGCTAATTGAGTCTATCCGGTCAATTTTAGCCGGAAATCGCTGACGCGAATGTGGACACTGACCATCCTATGTAGCACAACCGGCATTAATAATATTTTTTTAAAAAATCGAATTCTTTGAAGTATTTTTTTTTCTTTCTTTTTTTTTTCCTTTTTTTCTTCCAACCCTGGCAAGGGTCACTGGCCAACCCTCGCCAGACTTGATAGAAAAAAAATAAAAGGAAAGAAAGGAAAAGAAAAAAAATATAAAAATTTATCCATGTCAACACCGGTCGTCCTACGTGACACTACCGGCGTCCACATAAGTGGTTTTCGGTTAAAATTGGTCAGATGGACTCAATTAGCAAAACATGAAAAGAATTAGAACTCAATTGGCAAAATTGAAAGGTTTAGGACTAAATTGGCAAAAGTGCAATAAATTTATGACTTTTAGATAATTTTTTTGCTCCTTGGCTGGCAAGGTGTTCTTTTTAATGATGTCATTTCGTGTGCCAATGAACTAATTTCAATTACATATATGTATATATGTATATATGTATATAAATACTGATTAACAACCTAGTCTTCTTCTCTTATCTCTAAATAACTTGATTATTCCCCTCATCTCTAACTTTATATTGTTAATGCCCTTAATCTGTCACAACGAAAGCTAACTATTATCGAACCAACGATAGTAGGTGTTTAACATCGAATTGAGAATCAAGTCTTGCCTAAAAGTGACGTGATTAGACTCAGAATTTGAATATCTGATACCTGAATTTCCTTGTTCATATTGAACTTTTAATGTCACATGTGGAATGTAAAATCCAAAGCCCAAGCCCAAATGTTTCTTTTGTTAGGCCCTCAGCCCACCTCCATTTTCCTTCGGCACTTGATACAAAGGAAACTTTTTTAAGAAGAAAACAGTAGAGAGAGAGAGAGAGAGAGAGAGAGAGAGAGAGAGAGAGAGAGAGAGAGAGAGAGAGAGAGAGAGAGAGAGAGAGAGAGAGAGAGAGAGAGAGAGAGAGAGCTGCTGAAAACAAGAGAAGGGAAAAGAGAGAGAGACAAAGAACTCGGATGAAGCCGAGGGAAAGAAGAAGAGGGTTCTTACATATGCGCTCCGAATGTCTCAACGAGTCCGATTAACTTCGTTTTGCAGTGCTCGGTAAAGATTCAAACACTGTTTAATCAAAGGAATTCTTGTAATTAAGCCTAAATTCATATTAGTGTAGATTTTAGTTTTCTGGGTTTATTCTAGTGATTATTAAGCTATGAAATTATGTTGCGAAGAAACAATAAAGTGTTATGGAGTTGTGAGATTTTAAGAAGTCGATTTGGAGTTTGATCGGAGCCAATATTTAAAGTTTCATGCGTGCTATAATTTGGTTACATATTACTATTTTTTGCGATGGTTTTCGCCCACTTCCAGCAATCTTTCATATTACATTAGTAATCGTTATCATCAAAAAAATATAGGAGATTTTCCCAACACTTTTGAGTTAGCCAAATTTATGAACTTTTAGTAATTTGAAAGAGCTTTCTTTGATAGTAAGCTCACTTGAATTGCAGTTCAATGGAGAGAGTTGAGTCGAAGCCAAATTCGGCGTGCAAAATGAGTGTAGCGGACTACAATGAATGTATGTTATGGGCAAGTTTTCGTTAGTGTGTAAGAGTTGTTTGTCGTCGAATAAGTTTAACTTAGACAAGTCTTTATTAGGTACTTATTTATTCTATTTTTTATATTTGTTTCTTGCTTAATTAATAGTATTTCGAGTTCGTTGGCTCAAATAACTTTGTTTGTTTGGTTTTGGCATTCCCATGTGAGTGGTGCTTATGTCTTCTTTGATTTGTAAACTTGTGACTTAAAAATGATAGAAATTAGATATGTTATGAGTTATAAAAGAAGCATCATATGGTTTGATACTTCATTTAAATAAAAAGGGATTTTTAGAACATATTTATTGCATAAAGACGAGTCGGACATTTACTGTCGTTATGATAATTTGAAATGGCAAAGTATCTTTGAAATAGTTTTGATCTGAATACTTGTGAATGGTTTTGAGAAATGCTTTATGAAATGAATTATGAAAGGTTATACATTTTGATATTATGAACTTGATTTTTGAAATGTATTTTGCTTGATGAATTGAATTTTGAAAGGATATATGTTTTGGTTAAAAAACTTGATATGGAATGAGTTACTGGATTTGATTTGTGGGTATTTGGAGGATGAGTAGTGGTTCTGAAACTCATTATTGGTATGTTTAGAACCAATTGAGGGGTTGAGTATGCATATTGTTTTCATGACATTCTTCTGAGTTGATCCACCGGCCGATATAGATGGAGATTTGGCTAAGGGGGAATTCTAGTTAGCTTTGTCACAAGGTGTTAAGCGTGACCATAATTGGATATTTGAGCACTAGATTGATTAATGGATGAACAATCACTGTATGATTTGATATAGATTAATCAATGGAATGAACCATTAATGTTTGATTTGATATTGTTGACTAATTTGGTACATATAAAACTTTGTTGAAATGATATAACTTATTTTCTATGTTGTACGTATATTATAA